TTTTGGGCTCCCGAGAAGGTTTTACATAAAAAAAAAACAGTTGGAGTCCCCGAATGGATTTTACATTTTTAAAAACGACAGTTGGGACCCCCGAGAAGTTTTCACATTGAAGAAATTCGGGGCCCCCGAGAAGGTTTTACATTAAAAAACAACAGTTGGGACCCCGAGAAGGTTTCATATTCTTAAAAAAAGACATTTGGGGCCGCCGAGAAGCTTTTAATATCTTAAAAAATGATATTTGGGGCACTAGAGAAAGTTTTACATTTTTAAAAAGGCAGCTGGGATCCCCGAGAAGGTTTCACACTGAAATAAAAGATATTTGGGGCCCCCGAGAAGGTTTTAAAATTAAAAAAAGACAGTTGGGACCTCCGAGAAGGCTTCACATTAAATATAAAGAAATTTGGGGCTCCCGAGAAGGTTTTACTTTAAAAAACAACAGTTGGGACCCCGAGAAGGTTTCATATTCTTAAAAAAAGACATTTGGGGCCGCCGAGAAGCTTTTACATTCTTAAAAAATGATATTTGGGGCCCTAGAGAAAGTTTTACATTTTTAAAAAGGCTGCTGGGATTCCCGAGAAGGTTTCACACTGAAATAAAAGATATTTGGGGTCCCCGAGAAGGTTTTAAAATTAAAAAAAGACAGTTGGGAGCCCCGAGAAGGTTTCACATTAAAAAGAAAAGATAATTTGGTCTTCCGAGAAAGTTTTACATTAAAAAAAAACAGTTAGGATTTCCGAAAGTATTTTACATTTATAAAAAAAAAGGCAGTTGGGACCCCCGAGAACGTTTCACATAAAAAATAAACAGTTGGGACTCCGAGAAGGTTTCTTATTCTTAAAAAAAGACATTTGTAGCCCCCCAGAATGTTTTACATTTAAAAAAAAGACAGTTGGGAGCCCCGAGAAGGTTTCACATTAAAAAGACAAGATATTTTGGGCTCCCGAGAAGGTTTTACATTAAAAAAAAACAGTTGGAGTCCCCGAATGGATTTTACATTTTTAAAAACGACAGTTGGGACCCCCGAGAAGTTTTCACATTGAAGAAATTCGGGGCCCCCGAGAAGGTTTTACATTAAAAAACAACAGTTGGGACCCCGAGAAGGTTTCATATTCTTAAAAAAAGACATTTGGGGCCGCCGAGAAACTTTTAATTTCTTAAAAAATGATATTTGGGGCCCTAGAGAAAGTTTTACATTTTTAAAAAGGCAGCTTGGATCCCCGAGAAGGTTTCACACTGAAATAAAAGATATTTGGGGCCCCCGAGAAGGTTTTAAAATTAAAAAAAGACAGTTGGGAGGCCCGAGAAGGTTTCACATTAAAAAGAAAAGATATTTTGGGCTTCCGAGAAGGTTTTACATTAAAAAAAAACAGTTAGGATTACCGAAAGGATTTTACATTTATAAAAAAAAGGCAGCTGGGACCCCCGAGAAGGTTTCACATTAAATATAAAGAAATTTGGCGCCCCCGAGCAGGTTTTACGTTAAAAAACAACAGTTGGGACCCCGAGAAGCAGTGCCGAAACTAGCTATAGACCGAGTAGGCCCTTGCCTAGGGGCGCCAACGACAAGGGGCGCCAAATTGGTCCAAAAATTATGTTGTATAGTTTTGGAAATTTCATTGTACCCTATAAAATTTTATTGGCAATAACGAGATGGACAGTAGTACAATAGCAAGAGACATTTACAACTTAAGTTGTCGCGTGCCGATAATCCCCAGATATTAGAAACCAGAATAATCCAAGTCCGGGCAGGGACCATCGTTACTCATGAACAGAAATGACCATTATTTTATGAGTACAACTACGTGGCAAATGTTCTCAGACAAATTCGAGTGAACTGGTGAGAGCCATAAATATTTCTTACCATTGTACTACTGTCCGTCTCGTTATCGATAATAAAATTTTATAGGGTAGAATAAAATTTCCAAAACTATACCAAGGGTTATGTCATATTCATCTTTTTTTATTTTGAACGAAAACTCAGAAACATGTAACCGGTGCGACACGTTTATAATGTTGATTTTATTTTGAACTTACACAATATTTATACATATTATATACCTATATATTTGTAATCTCGATTTTTTTTCTTTTTTTAAATTTTATCATAGTATCTGTTTTGCGTACTTATTAAAAAATATAAATAAAGCTGTTCGGTAAAATTGCATTTTCATGTGTAGAGGAGGGGCGCCTAACGCAAGTTTCGCCTATACCTAAATATTCTTTGGTTTCGGCACTGCCAAGAAGGTTTCATATTCTTAAAAAAAGACGTTTGGGGCCGCCGAGAAGGTTTTACATTCTTAAAAAAAGATATTTGGGGCCCCCGAGAAGGTTTCACATTCTTAAAAAAAGCAGTTGGGACCCCCGAGAAGGTTTCAAATAAAAAATAAACAGTTGGGACTCCGAGAAGGTTTCTTATTCTTAAAAAAAACATTTGTAGCCCCCCAGAATGTTTTACATTTTTAAAAAAGACAGTTGGGAGCACCGAGAAGGTTTCACATTAAAAAGAAAAGATATTTTGGGCTCCCGAGAAGGTTTTACATTAAAAAAAAAAAAAACAGTTGGGGTCCCCGAAAGGATTTTACATTTATAAAAAAGACAGTTGGGACCACCGAGAAGTTTTCACATTGAATATAAAGAAATTTGGGGCCCCCGAGAAGGTTTTACATTAAAAAACAACAGTTGGGACCCCGAGAAGGTTTCATATTCTTAAAAAAAGACATTTGGGGCCGCCGAGAAGCTTTTAATTTCTTAAAAAATGATATTTGGGGCCCTAGAGAAAGTTTTACATTTTTAAAAAGGCAGCTGGGATCCGCGAGAAGGTTTCACACTGAAATAAAAGATATTTGGGGCCCCCGAGAAGGTTTTACAATTAAAAAAAGACAGTTGGGAGCCCCGAGAAGGTTTCACATTAAAAAGAAAAGATATTTTGGGCTCCCGAGAAGGTTTTACATTAAAAAAAACAGTTGGGGTTCCCGAAAGGATTTTACATTTATAAAAAAAAGACAGTTGGGACCCCCGAGAAGGTTTCACATTAAATATAAAGAAATTTGGGGCTCCCGAGAAGGTTTTACGTTAAAAAACAACAGTTGGGACCCCGAGAAGCTTTTACATTCTTAAAAAATGATATTTGGGGGCCTAGAGAGAGTTTTACATTTTTAAAAAGGCAGCTGGGTTCCCCGAGAATGTTTTACATTCTTAAAAAAAGATATTTGGGACCCTCGAGAAGGTTTTACATTTTTAAAATGACAGTTGGGACTCTTGAGAAGTTTTCACATTAAAAATAAAGATATTTGGGGCTCTCGAAAAGGTTTTACAATTAAAAAACAACTGGGACCCCGAGAAGGTTTCACCTTCTTAAAAAAAGACAGTTGGGAACCCCGAGAACGTTTCACATTAAAGAAAAAACATTTGCAGCCCCCAAAGAAGGTTTCACATTAAAAAGAAAGATATTTGGGACCCCCGAGAAGGTCTTAGATTAAAAAAACTGTTGGGGCCCCGAGAGGATTTTACATTTTTAAAAAAGACAGTTGGGACCGCCGAGAAGGTTTCACATTAAAAATAAAGATATTTGGGGCCCCCGAGAAGGTTTTACATTAAAAAAACCAGTTGGAACCACGAGAAAGTTATATTTTCATAAAAAAAGACATTTGGGGCCGCCGAGAAGGTTTTACATTCTTAAAAAAAGTTATTTGGGACCCTCGAGAAGGTTTTACATTTTTAAAAAGGCAGTTGGGATCCCCGAGAAGATTTCACATTCTTACAAAAAGACAATTGGGAACCCCGAGAAGGTTTTACATTTTGAAAAAAGACATTGGGAACCCCGAGAAGGTTTTACATTTTTAAAAAAATAGTTGGGATTCCCGAAAAGGTTTCACATTAAAAAGAAAGATATTTGGGACCCCGAGAAGGTTTCACATTCTTAAAAAAAGACAGTTGGGACTCCCGAAAAAGTTTTGACATTTTTAGAAAAGACAGTTGGGACCCCCGAGAAGGTTTCACATTCTTAAAAAAACCAGTCGAGATCCTCGAGAAGGTTTTATATTAAAAAAAAAGACATTTGGGGCCGCCGAAAAGGTTTTACATTTTTAAATAAAGAGGGGCGTATTCTCGCCTTTTGAGAAAGTGGGGTTTCATCGATAAAACATCTGTTGTGACGTCATAAACTAAGATAGCGGAAACTGGAAACTACTTATTTCGTACTCTAGGGGTTATGAAACGTCGAGAAAATATAAAAGTGGCTATTCGTCCGATGGACTCGGTTACTATGCTTTCTTATGTTACGCTCGGGAAGTAAAAAGGAAAAAAAATATATACCTCTAGTGAGTACACTTAAGGTTCACACATTATTCTCATATTATTTTCTATTTTTATTAATGATGTGAAAGACAAGTTTAACAGTAATTTCCTACTTTTTGCAAATATATATATGCCAAACGTTGCTAAAGTTACTATTGATTACTTACCGAATTCGTGCTGTATAGTATTATATATTCGACTTACAAATTGTGTCAATAATGACAGTTAATACATATAACAAAACGATTGTTCGAAAAAATAATGAAAAACTCACTTTAAAAGACGCTTATTCCTAGCGTATTTCATAACTAGAAACCCCACAGGTCGCTATTTTCATCCGACTGAAAAACCAACAAACCCTAAACACTCTAAAAGTTTTTTTTAGCCATGTCAGATTTTTGTGTATAATTACGATTGCGAAAATGTCTTTTACTTGTAAACTGTGAACCCGTTTAGCTTAAAACTACTAAGCATAAACCGCCCACGTCGCCTTCAATGAGCTGACAACGAACTTTATGAAACTGAAGTTGTTAAAACTTAAAATCCCATAGGAGACTTACGAACCTACCCTTTTTTGCAAGTCTGGATTAATTACTGACCAGAATTCGTCAACCGTGTTCGACACTCTAAAAATAATCTAAACGAAAATAAGTTTTCAGAGCAGGACGAGCTGCACGCTTAGGTTGGGTTAAAAAATATACCTACTGCTCAAATTCCTTTATTACCTTTTGCCATAAAAAAACACACACACTAACTATATCAAATAATGCTTCTCATTGATGTACTCAGTTGTGCCTAAGCTATTTATAATGCTTAAGTGATCGCCGTTGACCAAATGAATTTGTGGAGTTTGCTTACAATACTGAAAATCAACCCCAACAATTAATTAATCTACAAATTAATAATAAATAATCACCGAAACGAGTCCACAGTTGTCGTATTTACTAGACCCTGATGGTCGAATCAAGTGGATTTGCCCTGAAACCAGTTCATCAGTCGGTTCGTACGACATCACACTCTGAAGATGCGTCTTCAAGTTGACTAATCCGTCTCCTAGTAACTTTTTATCAGACTCAGTACCCTGATAACTATCGAGGGCCAGTTTAAGCCGCACATTCCACTCGGGTGCTTGCTCTATGCTCTTGACAACCTTAAAACCACAACTAATTTTACGTAAAAATGTCAAAACCTAACTTACTTCCGTGTCGTTAATTTTCAGCACTCTGGTTAATAAGTTAGTTTCCATGTTTGCACCCTCCCCCAGATGCTTAACAGCCGCTTTTATAGTTTCAGGGGCCGCATCTACAAAGTAAAGGTGCAAGCTAGCACCTAACTTGTCTAAAATTCGGGCTACTTCGACCATGAGAGGACCTCCCCATGATACCCCGATGATATTGTAGGCGCCTTTAGGCCAAATTTTTAGTATTTTCTACAAAACTGACACCTAGTACAAGAGGGACACAAAGTTTGCAGTCAAACCTCAACCAACTCCTTCGCTAGTTCTTTAATCGAGATCGGGGTTGAAGGATAGACCGCACAGAACGTCGGGTACAAGAGTTGGAATGCCATGTCCATCATTTCTTTGGTTCCTGCAAGTCCTGGGATTATAAATACGGGAGACAATTCGCGCATTTCTCTCGGTCCGAGAGTGGGTAGTTGCACCAAGTCGGGTTTAGAAGGAGCGTCTTCCACTTCTTCGATGAAGTCGGGTAAAGACGTGGGTAGGAGCAGACTAAGTTCTAGAACAAGAATTATCAGTACTGGGATACAGTGTATCGTGACGTAGTACTTTTAAATAGGGACTGTGCCGTTTCTTGGTGTGAATCGCTGACTTTGTCGTTCTTCACGAATATGTCTTTGACTTTGTAGCTCAGGATTTGGTCCAAACCTCCTAGGATTTCGCTAAACTCTAGATCTTTCTGCCACTGGATGTTGTAAGTTAAGAAACTGGCTTCTGACCGGAACTGACAGATTCCAGCGGCGTTAGAAATGAAGTTGATGAGGATGGCTTTTGGTGCTATTGTCCGTAAGGCGTTATCGATGTACTGGATAGATTTGGTTTCGCTAATTCGTGAATTGTTGGTTTTACTGGGTAATAATAGTACGCAGTGAATTGGTCCCAAATGGTAGACCTCGTTCAGTAATTCGACTGCGCCTTCTCTTGTGTGAGCCTTTGGTGGTGCGTAAATTATATTCGCCCCGAAGTACGACTGGAGAAGGGAAAGTCGACGATTGATGTACGTTTGTTGGGATTTGGAGTCCGACGAAACTACGATTTTTCGGGCACCACGCAAAATTAGCCACTCGACGGCGTCAGTCCAGTTTTCAGAAGTACCACCTGAGAGTAAACGTAGCCACTTTATTTATATCGTAGGTACTTGTCACTTACCATAAACCAAGTACGAATTTTTGGAATCACAGATAAACTGAGACGGGTTGTTCAAAATGAACTTGTTCACCGACAGGTTGTTGTTGACTTTGATTAGTATTTTACCAATATTGCCAGGATTACCCAAAGACCTACAAATACCAGAATTAGTAAGGAAAACCCGAAAAACTATATCGTACTTCAAAATTTCAGCTACATCTTGATGTTCCACCACTTTCCTCTGCACCGGTTTGACGCAACCACTTTCAATCCCCTTCTGAATCAAAGACCTTATTTCTTGTTTGATTTCTTTCGGCTCCAAAAACACGTTTTCTAAACCGACCACGTAAAACGAGGTGTTCTTCAGGAAGACGCTCATCCCGAAACTGTTATTTTCCTCGAGGTCGTATTTCCCGATCTGGAGCAACCTTCCATACTCCCCCAAACACCCAACGGAACCTTGTAGAAGCGAACCCGACAAGTTATTAATAATGACTTGGGCCCCAACACCCTCGGTTGCCATTAGTAGCAAAGGTTCAAACTTCCCGTCGTCAGAACTGTAGATGTGCTCATCGTCTAACTAAATTTTGACAAATTAGTTATGAAAACGAATGTCGGTACTACATACTTTGCTGAATTGTTTCTTGAGGTAAGTTCTTTGCCAGTCGGTTGACACGGTCGTGAACACTTGACACCCATGATGGTACGCGATCGCAATCGCGGCATACCCTATGGGTGAACACCCAGCATGAATGAGTACGGTCTCACCATCTTTCAGGCGACCTTTGACGAAAAGACAGTAGTAGGCCTAAACAATTAATTGTCAATTGAATACCACAATAGTTGGATTTTCAACTACAACTTACGCTGACGTAAGCGTGCGGGATTGTGGCCGCATCTTCAAGACTCCATCCCTCAGGAACATCCCACGAGAGAGTACCATCAGGGACGAGTTTACACTCGTCTCTATCCAGTTGCGCCAAACCCATAACCTTTTGGCCACTGGTGGCCACCACTCCAGAGTAATCTACATTTCCAAGTTCGGTTTTGCGTTCCGACACCGGTAATAAAGTTTCGTCTTTGAGGTTAACCCCAATGTAATTAATAACCTTGTTTCGAATGGCTGCACTAGTTATATTCAGGTTGTTCTGGATATTACCCTTGATTTTTACCGGTACTGGGAGAACAGTTCCCAGGACTCCTTCTCTAAGTACCGACAGAGTCAAATCCAAGTTGAAGGCTTGTTGTACTTGAGGGTCTTTAACCCTCACGTCTTCGATTCTTTTATCAGGAGTGAAGATAACCCGAACTGGGGACATCTCCGAAGTGGAGAGAAGTTCTTCGACGAAATTTCTAATTCCTTCAGTTGGAACCACTGACGTGACTAGGAAGACGCTGGTTTTCTTGGCTTTGGCAACGCCAACGGCGTTGTAGAGTTCGTTAACCCAAGAAACAGAGCTTCTGGACAAGTCTTTAATACTCAAAGTGTCTCCTTTTACGGTGACAACTTTAGGAGTGGTGGTGTTCTTTTTGCGCCAGATGGAATAGCTAACTCCGTCAACGGAGAACTGAACCACTGGAATAATATGGGGGTTGGAACCTAAATTTCCTGTTCGGGCTAATAAGAAACCGTGCGACGACGAAATAATTTTGGCCAGGTCTTCAGTCAAAACATCATTATAGACGAGAAGGAACGGATACGAATTTTGTACGATGATCGTCGTCAGGTCCTTGACGGTAGAAATATTGTGCTAAAATTTTAACAATCTTAACTGGGTACGTTTTCAACGGAAATCGACTTACGCTAAGTTTGGAATACTGGTTGCAGACATTCTGAACACTTTCCAATAACGAGGGGTTACCACTTTCGACTTCCATCACACTGATATTATTTATATTGTGCTCTTCGAAGTTGTCAAGACTGAGCTGAACGGCAATATTGATACCGTTTTCGATATTCTAGAAGAAAAAAAAGGTCCCTGATTTGGACTAGCCAAGATTTTTGTGTTTACCGGTACAGTGGGGTTCACAAGAGGCGTGAAATCAATCGAGTCCAACGAAATCGGCTTCGGGTCCCTCGGAAGCGAAATCGGTTTCAACCCAACCAGTTGAATCCCGTCTGTGGTTATCAAACCCGTCCAAACGTCGTAATGCACCTCCAGATCTTTCTTTTCTGTGGGTAGCAGATTTTCGTTGATTACAATCTTCAATATATTCTTCGGTACGTAGATTTCTTGGTACCGTTCGCCATCTTGGAACAAGTGCTGCTGGATCATAGCTTCCACCAACATTGTCCATTTATTGGCCCATTGCACCGTCGCGACGGACCCATCTTCAGTGATGGTAAGATTCTTGATGGATTTGTAGGGTCCGGAGTACTTGTGACCTCTGTGTTGGAACTCGTTGTAGACGTCACTTCCCGACAGTTGAACGTTGTCTCGACTAACGTCTACTTTAACAGGGTCGATCATGTACTTGTCACCAGAGTTAGGGAATGTTAGTTTTCCAGTGACTATAATATCCGTGCCTGCTAAAACTTCAAAGTCGCCGCTTCCTTTCTGGATCATGGCGTGAAGAGCGACTGAGCCAACCTTCGGGACTGTTAAAGCCTTCCTGAAGTGAAGGTTTTCAAAAATTAGTTCTTTGTGACCGGTGCTAATGCTGGCCACGATGTCGAAAATGGTATTCTGGAAACAAATTTTAGACAATGGTGTGGTACTAAAGTCATAGTTACCAGATAAGACGTACACGGGAGGATAATCTTTTCATCGATTTGGTGCCCCACGCACTCCCTAAACTCCTCGCTGTTGAGTGTCACCTGATAGTCTCTGACACCAAACAGCGACTTGAGTTTCTCCTCGAGCCCGGTCCTCCAAGTCTCGCTGTGTTCCCAATGGGCTAAGTTCGCCAAACACGCGGTACCTCTGCTCACCGGGTATTCAACCGTCGGGAATAACTTAGAAACTTCCATGTTCAACCCAGCTAGATACAATTTACCTAACGCACCCAACAGGAACTCAACCCCGCTCTTGGATCCGCGATGGGTCAGCGGGACGTTGGTGCACCCCGACTTCAACGACCTCTTCAAAATCGCCTGGAGTAACCCATGAGGCGCGATTTCAATCAAAATGGAGTCCTTCGGGATCTGACGCAGTCCCTCTTCAAAGTACACCGAACTCAAAAGATTGTTAGTGTGATAGTCAGCCGACGAGTGTTTCGCTAAGTCCGTATCCCAGTTTTCTTCCAGGTTGGAAGTGCTGACCCACTTTGAGGAACGGGCGACTGGCTTCGGCAGAACTTTTTTGAGGTACTTGAGGAGGATAGGGGCGGCTGGTTTAATGTAACGACTGTGGTAAGCAATGTTTGATACGTTGACCAGACGGGCGAAAATCCCTTGGTCTTGGAGTTCTTTGACGAACTTTTCCATATCTTCAGTTGGACCGGACAGGGTTGAGCTGTCGGGGCCGTTGTGACACGCGACTTCGATGGAAGGTGGGCACTTATCCTTGATTTGGTTGTAGCCCATTCCTGAAATCGTTAGTGTGGTCACGGAATATGGTAAAATTAGTTGGTTTGTGGGTACCTATAGCGGCCATCATCCCTCTGATCAGATTAGCTTCAATCGAGGCTCTCCCTCTGGAATAAGCGGCTAAAATCATTTCTTCGGCGGTCATGCAACCGTCGGCGTAGGCACAACCCAGTTCACCCACCGAGTGACCAATAATACCATCTGGGACTATCCCAATAGCTCTCAGAACGTCAGTCAGACCGATTTGAATCGCCGCAATTCCCACAAACGAGTGTAAAATGTTATCAAAGATATTTTTGTCAGAAGTGGTAAGGATGTGCATTAAATCTACTCCTTTGGGTTGCAAAATTTCAACGCATTTGTTAATCGCGTTGGCGAAGACTGGGAATTTCATAAAATCGCTGACCATGCCGCACCATTGGCTGCCCATTCCCGCGTACACGAACCAAATTTGGCGCTTGTTCCCCACGAAGTACTAATCATTAAAACAAACAGTGATTTTTATTAAAAACCTTGTATCTACTAACTTCAGTTTCTTCCTTCGGTTCTTTCAACCCTAGCAAAGTGTAGCCTCGGTATAAATGGCCCGAAATCGGCTTCGAGTAGAGGTCTTGAATCAGTTTAACGTACTCTGGATCGATCGTCGGTCTAGCTTTAATCTACAAGATTTCGAGTGAAACGTAACCCTACAAATACCCAAAACCTACTGTTTCTAAAATTCCTTTTATCCCGTCTTCGGTCCTAGTGGATGCCAGGATCAACCTAGGGATGTCGTCTTGGACCTCAAGGGTCTCCTTTCTTTTCGGGTTTGCTTTCAACAAAGCGTGACCGTAGTAAGAATCGAGCCCGATTGAGTTAACCGCGGCGTATTTAACTCCCCATTTTTGGTTTTCCGTAACTACTTTAATGTTTCCGTTGACCAAAGGCGCAATTTCTGGATTGGGTGTCTTGAATTGTAGTGTAGCGGGTATCGTGTCGGTTTCCATAGCTACTAAAACTTTCACTATGCTGAAAAGACTGGCGGAGGCTTCGCTGTGACCCGTGTTGGGTTTAACGGAACCAATCAGAAGAGGATTTTTGCGGTTCTTGCAGTAGACTTTTTCTAAAGCCTCGAGTTCCTTACGGTCTGTTTCCTAAAGGGTGTTTAGTATCTAGGGGTAATTGTGGTGTGGTACGTACTTTAAGAGCGCTACCGTAGGCTTCCACGAACTCGACTTCGTTCGGGTCCACGTCAGTTTGTTTGTAGAAGTCGCTGATGAATTCGGCCATGTTGTTGGCGTCGATGTCGAGAAGAGTCCCTTCGCGGTCACCATCGAATTGGGTTGCCACGTTGACAACGGTGGCGTAGTGACGTCGGGCTTCGCTAGATTTTTGTAGGTACATTACCACGATTCCGTCACTTCTGGCATAACCCTGGGCTTCAACGACGTTTAGTGTTAACACTAACTTAGAACATACGTACCATCAACATCGTAGCACTTGTTAGTACCATCTGGTGATAGAAGACCCATGTCGTTGTACAGCCACTGGAATTCCGAATTCAGTGCCAAATTAGCCGTTCCTATAATAACTGCTTCACATTGACCAGTTTTGATCGCTTCATAAGCCAATCGCAAAACCTCAATACCGCCAACCCAATTACTATCATAGGCCACACTCGGACCTTTAATATCCAACCAATATGAAACCCTATTTGGCATCATGGCACGCGAATGTCCCGTAACCCCAAAACCACTGATGACCGACTCCAAGAAGAGATTGTCGTTTTCACCTACCGACGACGCCATGAAACAACCGATTCTTCTACCCCTTAGCTCGATGGGGTTGACACCTGGTAAAAGGTACTTAGTTTGACTAGAAACACAGATTTTAAGTTCATACCGGCATCTATGAGAGCTTCGTATGTTCTTTCTAGGATAAGACGGTGCATGGGATCCATGAAGGTACATTGTTGACGATGGATCCCGAAGTAGGCGTTATCAAAGAACTCAGTTGGGACTTTGCCGATGACGTTTGTAACACCTCTTTCACCTGCCTTCCAACGGCTTTCCATGAGGTTTTCATTGTTGAGGAGCCGGTCTCTGAACTCTTCGATGTTTAAGGATTTGGGGAAGTAGCCCCCAACTCCGGAAATAACGACGTCGTCTTTTACGAAATGCATGGTTGAATACTAGAACTAGAGTTGGGTCTCATGATTTTACACGAAAAGGTTTAATTAACATTATTTGATGTCACATGCTTGTCACATGAGAACAACATAGGACAGCAGTATTAAAAAAAATCGAAAATTGTTATGAATGTGAACCGTTAATTTATAGTTAAAAATAATTCCAAACTGGAAGTAACTTACTTTGAAGAGAACCGTTAAAAGGCAGTTGCACCAACAAAATGTTCTGTTTTGTATTAAAAACTACTTTTATACATAGACGTATAGCAACAATGCTTTAAAAGAAATTAGTCCACAATGGCGTTGGATTTTCCTTGAACTTCACCTTTTCGACACATGTTATGACGGATGAGGAATTGAATACAATGCTAGATAATATAAATTTCATCCATACGACAAAGTTCGAGAAGGTATAAACAATTTTAAATTGTAAAATTTGATAACGTCACGTGGTTGTATAATTTGTAACAATGAACCACTTAATTTAACGAATACAGTTTTTGTCGATGTCTAATTATAACCCAGACGGTGGAAATTTTATTTCAGTAGTCGTGAGAAATGAGTACAATTTCCTGTTCGTTGTATAATGGTATTCTAGATCATTCTATGGGTAATGCTTAATAACTCATAATACACACATAGGCAATTAAAAAATTACAACCAATTATAGTTTCAAACTATAAAATTTTGACTGAGCCACGTTACTTAAATTTCAAATTCCCAAAAATTATTGCTATGAAGCTAATTATTTATTAAAATTTAATCACAATCGGTGCAGTATTAGAATGGAAACAAAATAGTTCAGAGCAGAGGTCTCGGATCTGCATACTACAGTTTTAACTTCATTATTTTCCTTCGTGTTTAATTCAACTCATCGGCTTCAATTAATGGCATTGTATCTAGAATTTTCTTATCATAAAATTATAGGTTATATCTTCGTTGTCACTACAGTAAAATATATGAAGAATTTACTACAGTGATCATCATTTAAAGTCATCGTTTTTATTGTTTGACATTAAAAAGACAGTGAACATGTGCTTTGAACAAAATGGGGAACTTTTTTAACATCTAATGTGACGTTTAACCCCAATAAATTCGTTTCTTTTTGTTGTAATGAATCAGTTTTATTTTTTAATTAGTTGTGAAGGATCTAGGCAACCAGTTATACACATACGTGTGGCATTTGTCGTACATTTAGTGAAATGCAAAACTGAGATGCGGCACTTTCCATGACCTACTTCGGCCCTATAATCATTTATAGAAACTCTAATTTCTGCTGTGTTTAATATTTATTTATTGAGTTTATTTCATATCTGCCTTGTTCATGTGATATGGGGATTTATCGAACCGGTTCAGGATCTAAGCTGTTTGACCTATAACTTCAATTAATGAATAATTTAACATCATGTAGATTCCTTGTTATTTGAAATTCTTGAAAAAGTGTGGCATAAATTGATTTTGCTTGTTTTAACTCTATTAGAAATAAACGCTCGAGATCGTGTGGTGGAGGCAACGTGAATCGAAAGCTTGTGTGTCCTTTCTGTTTCATGTGAATGTTTATCTGCAATACCTGATTTGCAACCAAATTGAACCAGACTGTATAGTTGGCTGCGTCCTTTGCGGAGACAGACATGTTTAATTTTGGCGGGATGTTTGAGCTAACGCAATATTTTAATCAATTATTTAATTTTAAGGGTTACTGGATGTAAGAAACATTTATTAAAATAAATATATGAAAATACATTGCGATTATTTTTATTTATTTTCTTTATTAATGTCCTTTTTAGCTACCTTACAAGTTGCATGTGAAAATATTTTGTACTGTTGTACATGTGATTGTTTTTTGTATTTATATATGTAGATATTATGTGATATTAAACTATGCTTACGCCATTCTATGCTAATGATGATTCACATTCTTTTAGAAACTTTAGAGTCAAATTTTTACTATTTAAGTTCTAATAAAGTCGAGGTTTGGGTGGTTTTTCAGTTATTTTTTCTTTTAAAAGCCACAATACATTTTTTAATAACTTGTTTATTTTTTTAAGCAGTGTGTAATAAAGAATGCCATGCCTATTTCCATTACAATTTATTCGGTTACTTCAAAAACACAAATTACATATGCAACAGTCACATTTAGGTCGCACTAAACGTTTAAAAATACCTGCATGGTGTATGTGTATTTTTTTCCATTATTAATACTAATTTTCTAGGTACGTTCAGTTTCAACCTCCGCATTGTAATTTTGTAGCTATGTCCTGGTTTGAATTTTAAATTTCGCGCTCAAAAAAAGAGAACGTTTAAACTTAGACAACCATGTGCAGAGATCTTCAGTTAAGTCAGTTTAGAGAATTAGTGAATGCCACTTTTTTAGGTTGGTAGTCGGATAGGGGTTGGCAATTAGAAAATATGCGAATTTAAGACCGACGCTAACACGTGGTGTAAATGTGTTTTATTGTTTGTAAATTCACAGTTCATGTTAGGATTTTAATCGTTAACTAGTTCTCACAAGATTACTAATAGTTCATTTACGGCAGTTAAATCAATCTAACGTTGTCCCACTCTGGGAACAAGACCGTGAAAGTGCGATAGAATTCATAATATCGTGGACTGAGGTACGTCAGTTGAATCATTGCATCATTTCACATCACGTACATTCTTTATTTGAATTTTAAAGTGTGGCATAATTTAACTTCCTTACTTTTCTTTGTTTTAAATGTCAATTTAAAGCGGGATGTTTGGGTTATCACAGTGTTCACATTTTTAACTGTTTGTAGTTCTAATTAGACAAGTTAAACGAAATATTTCATTATAACACGCTCGTTAACTTCTTACTCGATAGTGTTAACAGAGTTTACTAATGGCATTCAAACTGATCTTAAACGTTCATACATTTTGAAAGAAGGAACCTTGAAACTCAATCAGTCAAATTAATAACCTCATGGACTCGAAAACCAACGGAAGGGGAGGATAGTTTTTTTTGAGGCTTGAATTTGAACATTTATTCTCGACGTTTCGCTTTAGAGCGCAGCGTTTCCGAGACCAGCTTACTGTGATTTTGATCGTATTGAATATGTGTTTTTGTGTGTGATGTGGGGGATAATTTAATGTAGTGTAATTTCTTTGTTGCTTAAAATTTGCTTTGTGATTAAATTTGTGATATTGAGATATTTCGTCGCTTAAGAACTTGTTTGATCTACAGACCAGAGCGCGCTCAGACCAATGTCGACTCTAAGCGTTCAGAATTAAATTGTGTAGCAAAAGTTCTAAATTAGCAATACTGGTGGAACAGTAATCATCCAATAGATTTTTTTCGGGAAAGTGCGGTTATTTTTTTTATGTTTTAGAAATATGTATTCTGTTCTACTTTATATTAATTTTTACATTTATTAGTAACGATTTTTGTAGTTATTTTCCATACATTGTATGATATTAGCATTGGGAAAACTTTCAGCAGAAAAACTGAAAAATAAATACGTTGAATTTTATCGAAGAATAAAAAATTTTAAAAATCAAAAAATTAAAATATAGAAAAATTGAAAAAATCAGGAATTGGAAAATTGCCAAAACTGATAATGTTGAAAAAATCGAAGAATTGCAAAATAGAGATATTGAAGGACTGAAAAAGCGAAAGATCGAAAAATTGCAAAGTCGAAAGATCGAAAAGCCGAAAAATAAAAAATCGAAAAACCAAGAAATCAGAACGTGGAAAAATTCAAAAACTTCATCGACAAATCGAAAAATAAGAGGATCGAAAAATCGAGGATTTGAAAAGTGGAGAACTCGATAAATCGAATAACTGAGAAACCGAAAAAGGCCAAAATCAAAAAAATTTAAAAGTTAAAAATTGAAAAATTGTCAAAATAAATCCAGAAATTGGATAATCAAAGCACTGGAACGTCCGAATCTCGTTAAATCGAGAAACCAAAAATTTAAAAGTTAAAATACTTAAATTTAAAAATCTAAAAACTGAAAAACTGAAATTTAAAAATTTAAAAAATTGAAAAATCGGATAACTGAAAAATCGAAAAGCCGAAAAGTAAAAAATCAAAAAACCGAGATATCGAAAAATCCAAACGTCGACATATTTAAAAAGTGAGACATCGAGAAATCGAAAAATCAAGGGATCGAGAAATAGAGGAGTCGAAAAATTAAGAAACCGAAATTGGAAAATTGAAATATAGAAGAATTGAAAACTCGAGAAAACGAACACGGAAAATTGAGAAATCGAAGTATATATAAAACAGTCGAAAAATTGAAAAATTTATAGTTTAAAAAAGGAAAAATGCAAAATTCGAAATGTACAAAAGGAATCAAAAAATCCAGAAGTCAAAAAATCGAAATACTGAAATATCTCAAAACTGGAATATCGAAAAATTAAAAAATATAAGAAACATTGAACAATCGAAAAATCTAAAAAAATCCCAAAACTGGAAGAAATATCCAAAAAATGAGAAAAAAAAATTGCAGAATTAAAATATTTTACAAAAGAAAATTTGAAATATCGAAAATCTAAAAATTCGGAAAATTGAAAAATTGAAATATAGAAGAATTGAAAACTCGAGAAAACGAAAATTCCAGAATTCTAAAAGTTGAAAAATTAAAATACCGTAAAGTTGAAAAATTAAGAAATCAAAGTATAAAATAGTCGAAAAATTTAAAAATATAAAGTTAAAGAACGAAAAATTGAAAATTCAAAATGTACAAAACCGAAGAATCAAAAAATCCAGAAGTCAAAAAATCGAAATACTGAAATATGTCAAAACTGAAATATCGAAAAATTAAAAAATATAAGACACATTAAAGAATCGAAAAATTGAAAAAAATCCCAAAACTGGAAGAAATATCCAAAAATGAGAAAAAAATTGCTAAATTAAAATATTATAAAAAAGATAATTTGAAAAATCGAAAATTTAAAAATTCGGAAAATTGAAAAATTGAAATATAGAAGAATCGAAAATTCGAGAAAACGAAAATTCCGGAATTCTAAAAGTTGAAAAATTAAAATACCGTAATGTTGAAAAATTAAGAAATCGAAGTATAAAATAGTCGAAAAATTGAAAAATATAAAGTTAACGAACGGAAAATTTAAAATTCAAAATGTACAAAACCGAGGAATCAAAAAATCCATAAGTCAAAAAATCGAAATACTGAAATATCTCAGAACTGAAATATCGAAAAATTAAAAAATATAAGAAAGACTGAAGAATCGAAAAATTTAAAAAAATCCCAAAACTGGAAGAAATATCCAAAAAATGAGAAAAAAATTGCAAAATTAAAATATTTTAAAAAAGAAAATCTAAAAATTCGGCAAATTGAAAAATTGAAATATAGAACTGAAAACTCGAGAAAACGAAAATTCCAGAATTCTAAAAGTTGAAAAATTGAAATACCGTAAAGTTGAAAAATTAAGAAATTGAAGTATAAAACTGCTGAAATATCTCAAAACTCCAATATCGAAATATTAAAAAATATAAGAAAAACTGAAGAGTCGAAAAATTGAAAAAATCCCAAAACTGGAAGAAATATCCAGAAATTGAAAAATCGAAATATTTTAAAAAAGAAAAATTGGAATATAGAAGAGTTGAAAACTTCAGAAAACGAAAATTCCAGAATTTTAAGAGTTAAAAAATTAAAACAGTCGAAAAATTGAAAAATCCAAAGTTTAAAAAAGGAACAACTGAAAATCCAAAAAATAAAAAATCCAAAACTCGAAAAATCGAAAAGTCGAAGAATCAGAGTACCGAAAAATCCCAAACCGAAAAATCGAGAAATCAAAAAATGTGAAATTTAAAACAATGAAAAATGAAAATATCCAAAAATTTAAAAAATTGAAAATTGAAAAATCGAAAGATCGAAAAGCCGATAAGTAAAAAAGTGAAAAATCGAAACCTGGAAAAATTCAAAAACTTCATCGAGAAATCGAAAAATAAGAGGATCGAAAAATTGATGATTTGAAAAGTTGAGAAGTCGAAAAATCGAATAACTGAGAAACCGAAATAGGCCAAAATGAAAAAAATTGAAAAGTTGAAAATTGAAAAATTGTCAAAATAAATCCAGAAATTGAATAATCAAAGCACTGGAACTTCCGAATCTCGTTAAATCGAGAAATCAAAAAAATATTGAAAAGTTGAAAAATCGAGAAATCTAAAAATTGAAAAGTTAAAATTCTGATATTTAAAAATCGAAAAACCAAGATGGCAAACAATTGAAAAATTAAAATATCGAAAAATCGAACATCAAAATTCGAATAAGTAAAATTTAAAAATCGAAAAACTGAAAAATCGAAAAACTGAGAAACTGAAACTCCAAAATCTAAAAAATTGAAAAATCGCATAACTGAAAAATCGAAAAGCCGAAAAGTAAAAAATCAAAAAACTGAGAAATCGAAAAATCCAAACGTCGAAATATTTAAAAACTGAGACATCGAGAAATCGAAAAATCAAAGGATTGTGAAATAGAGGAGTCGAAAAATTAGGAAAGGGAAATCGGCCAAAATCTAAAAATCGAAAAGTTAAAAATTGATAAACCGAGAAATTGAGCAAACAAAACATCGAAATGTGGGAATCTCGATAAACCGAGACATCAAAAATTTGAAAAATCGAAAATTTAAATATAAAAGAATTGAAAACTCGAGAAAACGAACACGAAACATTGAGAAATCGAAGTATATATAAAACAGTCGAAAAATTGAAAAACTTTCATTTAAAAAACGAAAAATTGTAAATTCAAAATGTACAAAATCAAAGAATCAAAAAATCCAGAAGTCAAAAAATCGAAATACTGAAATATCTCAAAACTGGAATATCGAAAAATTAAAAAATATAAGAAACATTGAACAACCGAAAAATTGAAAAAAATTCTAAAACTGGAAGAAATATCCAAAAAATGAGAAAAAAAAATGCAAAATTAAAATATTTTAAAAAAGAAAATTTGAAATATCGAAAATCTAAAAATTCGTAAAAGTGAAATATAGAAGAATCGAAAACTCGAGGAAACGAAAATTCCAGAATTCTAAAAGTTAAAAAATTAAAATACTGTAGAGTTGAAAAATTAAGAAATCGAAGTATAAAATAGTCGAAAAATTGAAAAATTCAAAATGTACTAAATCGAGGAATCAAAAAATCCAGAAGTCAAAAAATCGATATAATGAAATATCTCAAAACTCCAATATCGAATTATTAAAAAATATAAGAAAAACTGAACAGTCGAAAAATTGAAAAAATCCCAAAACTGGAAGAAATATCCAAAAATTGAAAAATCGAAATATTTTAAAAAAGAAAAATTGGAATACAGAAGAATTGAAAACTCCAGAAAACGAAAATTCCAGAATTTTTAAAAGTTAAGAAATTAAAACAGTCGAAAAATTGAAAAATTTACAGTTTAAAAAAGGAAAAATGCAAAATTCAAAATGTACAAAATCAAGGAATTAAAAAATCCAGAAGTCAAAAAATCGAAATACTGAAATATCTCAAAACTGGAATATCGAAAAATGAAAAAATATAAGAAACATTGAACAATCGAAAAATTTAAAAAAATCCCAAAACTGGAAGACACATCCAAAAAATGAGAAAAAAAATTGCAAAATTAAAATATTTTAAAAAAGAAAATTTGAAATATCGAAAATCTAAAAATTCAGAAAATTGAAAAATTGAAATATAGAAGAATTAAAAACTCGAGAAAACGAAAATTCCAGAATTCTAAAAGTTGAAAAATTAAAATACCGTGAAGTTGAAAAATTAAGAAATCAAAGTATAAAATAGTCGAAAAATTGAAAAATCTAAAGTTTAAAGAACGAAAAATTGGAAATTCAAAATGTACCAAATCGAGGAATCTAAAAATCCAGAAGTCAAACAATCTATATACTGAAATATCTCAAAACTCCAATATCGAAATATTAAAAAATATAAGAAAAACTGAAGAATCGAAAAATTGAAAAAATCCCAAAACTGGAAGAAATATCCAAAAATTGAAAAATCGAAATATTTTAAAAAAGAAAAATTGGAATATAGAAGAATTGAAAACTCCAGAAAACGATAATTCCAGAATTTTAAAAGTTAAGAAATTAAAACAGTCGAAAAATTGAAAAATTTACAGTTTAAAAAAGGAAAAATGCAAAATTCAAAATGTACAAAATCAAGGAATCAAAAAATCCAGAACTCAAAAAATCGAAATACTGAAATATCTCAAAACTGGAATATCGAAAAATTAAAAAATATAAGAAACATTGAACAATCGAAAAATTTTAAAAAATCCCAAAACTGGAAGAAATATCCAAAAAATGAGAAAAAAAAAATTGCAAAATTAAAATATTTTAAAAAAGAAAATTTGAAATATCGAAAATTTAAAAACTCAGAAAATTGAAAAATTAAGAAATCGAAGTATAAAATAGTCGAAAAATTGAAAACTATAAAGTTGAAGAACGAAAAGTTGAAAATTCAAAATGTACAAAACCGAGGAATCAAAAAATCCAGAAGCCAAAAAATGGAAATACTGATATATTTCAAAACTGCTAAATAACGAAATAGTAAAAAATTAAAGAAATATCCAAAAATTGAAAATCGAAATATTTTAAAAAAGAAAAATTGGAATATAGAAGAATTGAAAAAAGTTAAAAAATTAAGTATATAAAGTCGTAGAATCGGAATACTGAAAAATCCCAAACCGGAAATATCAAAAAATTAAAAAATAGAAGAAAAATCGAAGAATCGAAAAATTCAAACATCCCAGAATTGAAAGAAATCCAAAAATTGCGAAATTAAAAAAGTGCAAAATTTAGAAATCGAAAAAGCCAAAAAGCAATTTCAAAGAATCGGAAACGTCAAAACTGTAAAAAATTTAAAATTGGAAATATGTATTTAAAAATCGTAAAACTGAAGAGGAGAAGAACTGAGAAATCGTCAAACTAAAACATTGGCAAATTGAGAAATCGAAAAATAAAAAAATCGGGAAACCGAAAATTTGAACAATGGAAAAATTGAGAAATCGAAAAGCCGGAAGGATGTGAATCAGTCAGCTCAGTTCTAACGAAAGTCGGCTTCTAGATCAAATCGCATAGAGTCGATATTAGCCTGAGGGCGCTCTGGTCTGTCGATCAAACAAGTTCTCAGGAGACGCTTTAAGTCGACACGCAACATAACCAACGTTTGATTTCATTGTTAAAGACGGGAGAGGGATTTTCATTACTAACAGTTGGGCTTGTTTAACAATTTCTCCAGAATGGGGTTCACCGCTTTGCATTTGAATTTTTCGCGGGTTTTACAATTTTGTTCATATGTCAAATGTTTGATTTACTGAATCGATTAAATAAATAATTTCATTTATTAGTAGTTAATGTTGTTATTTAACAAAATAACCTTACTGTCAATTGTCAACTGTAGGTGCAATTGTGCGCATGCGTATAAATCGTTATTTTATTTCAGGTGTTTATTGTGTTGCATAACTCAATTTCTCTCATTTAAATACGAAGTTAAGTATCGAAATTTGAAATTATTGTTATTGTTTGTTACTGATGGGCCTCAAACCCCATTTCATCATAATTATAAATCTGAATAAATATCCATATCGAATAAACAAAATTAAATTCATTCATGAAAAGCTTGAGGACACCACAAATCTTGTATCTTTATGACTGAATTTCATGTTCATGTTACAATACTATTAAGCAAAATTGTCACTTCTTTCTTTGTTTCGGTAGCCTTAAATTTGTTTTCTAGCAGTGACGTACTCTAATTTTGGAACGATTCATTGTATTTTTTAATTAATTTATGCCCGGTTGAAAGATCACCGATTTTAACATTCACTAAATCAAGTAGAGTTCATTAACTATTAAATGACATAACAGAATGACGTTAGTTATTATTTGTGTTAAACTGACAAGTCAAGGACATTCACGAAAAGTTAAAATTAGAAACTGGAATACAAAGCGGCGTATGGACACTGGAAATTTATATTACTTTGAAGGCTAGTAGTTATATAGTGGGGGTTCTAGTCCACTAGTTTGTTCGCTGAGGGAGTTTTAATGGTGGGAGGTAATGAATTAAAAGCACGGTGGATAATATTCACACTTTATTAACCAAAAAACAAACATAAAACATCTTATCTAAATATGTATATATACTAAACATCTTGCATATGGAAAGAACAATAGATATGTGCAATGTCTAAAACTGTCTTTTATGGCTCGCACATGTCATAATATTTTATTGCCTAATTTTAAAATCTACATGAATGTTCCGTATAATACATAAAACATTATAATCAATATCAAAATATTTCGAGCTGTTACTCATTTTCAAATCTGATATGAAGATGACGAAAGATTGAGCAATAAAAACCCTTTAAGACCAGACCGTATGTGTGGTCTTCGGGGCCCAACAATAAATCCAATACAATCCACCTAGTGAAAGATATGTCCAAGATACGGTAACATTTCTGAACGAGCCGAAATAATGATGAGTAACAGCGTGCCAACTACTGCTAATACAATTATAAAGTCGTGTTGTGTTCCATAAGCAAAAAGCACTATAAATAGCGATACATATAGGTAGATATTTCATATAAATCTATTTTGCATTTCTTTTACTATATTTGTATACAACATAACCTACAGAGACACTGTAGCTTTATTATTTAAACGTATTACTAAAAAAGGAGAATAAAGCGAAACGTTACCCTGAAATTTGTTGCCAATAATAATTATCGTTACAAAAGTTATATATTTGCATTGAGTTTCTCATAAGTATTCTTTTAGAAATACGTTTCGAATTGTCTGTGCTGGCAACCGCTTTAAAGTATAAAATGGAATCAAACAATTTTGGCATCTTATTAACACTAATTATATAATCTCACAAAAACAATACTGCTCAATTTGTTTTTCTTGTTTAGTCGTCTGAAAGACAAAAAGACAAAATTCTCTTTACAATAAACTACCTACGTTTTACAATCTCTTAATAATAAAGACCCTGTTTTAATAAAGGCTATACAAATGATATCTCACGTTAGCTGATTGTGATTTTTAAATTCAGGGTTGGCCGGGCGCTCGCGTCCGGCTGAAAGTGTGACTAATATATTATATCGGGTGTATGTGAATAATCAGTCACGCGTTCAATAGAAAACTTGAAAATATTTTAGTTAGTTTTTGACTTTTGAACTACTACCACATTTGGCACCGAATGTGCTGTCATCAGCATTACGCTACAGACAAAGCTAACCGTTGATTGCCTGCACAACACGACAACTATGACATAGCCGACATTAAGGCCCCTGCTAAATCCTACACCTCTTCTACACACAGCAGGGGGATAGCCAACATGTATTAAGTAACCCCCTCGTAATGATTGAATATTGCAACACTACCTGAAGCATCGTCTTGATAAAGTGTCACATTCAAATTATAAAACAGTTATTGAAATGCTAAAACTAGGTACTATAGTTGCTACTAGTCTAAAACTTGAAACATGGAGTTCATAGAAAGTAATTATTACATTATTCTCAAAAATCCCAAACAAACACAATTTTGTACATGTGTCTTGAATATGAAAAATTCTTGATCCATTTATTTGGCACATGATTACAATATGGTTTCGCGCTTCGGCTGCGCCCAAGGTGCGCGAAGCGCGACATCAACTATTTTAAGAACACTCAGTAACACAAAGGGATAACAATAGATTGTCCCCATTATAGTCAAACGTTTAGATCGAATAAAATTACATCAATAATAAACATGAAAAACGTTAGTAAATAATAGACTAGATTATATATCACTACTACTAAATAACAAGCCAGCTATTTGAAAAACCACCGCGTTGATCAAATCAAACGAAATCGATCGACCGACCGTTTCTGGTAGCCTCTACACAAGAACCCGCCTTCTCAAAATCGACCGTAAGTACAGCTTTTTCAAGAGTATTGTTTGTAGTATACGGATTACCCTAATTTATTGTATGTATAACATTTCGCGACAGTGCATTGTTACATGACGTGATCACAGTGAGCTACCACTAACCACAAATAGACTGTTTGCAGTAATACCTGTACAAAGTATTGCGTTTGAAGTTCGAGTGATGTGAGCATCGGTATGAGCAAAAAGGGAAGAGTTAATTTGGCACAACGATACTTTTATTATTATTATTATTATTATCGAGGAAGAAATACGTACGAATACTTAAGATTTAATAACATGCACAGCCCAATGTAAAAATGCAAACAATCTCGTATTGCACAGCGATCTCCTTTAATACCGACTCGGTTCAACTAGATCACAAAGTGCCCAAATCACTCTTTGATATTCGACTACTAATCTCTTAAAACTAGAAAAACAGTCTGTCATCAAAACCGGGACCGACGCCTGAGCGCCACCATCGATACTGATATGTACATCCTGTGATAAGCCGACTGATATGGTTTGGGACTACCTCAGGTGGCGACCGACCCCAGTCCTGAACTCAGCAAATCAGTATATATAAATAAATAAGCTTAAAACACTAGAAATAAATACTACGCAACAAATTAGAACGTCGTTATATACCTTGAAAGTTATTGTCCCGCCATATTTACACAACGAACCGAAATGTACAAACGACTCACCGTTATTTTCGAAATCCGCGGCTTCTAACGGGAACTACCGACAAATTCCGAAAATAAACGAGTGGGTGGAGCCTCCAGGGGGCGTGGTCGGAACTGCGCCGAAGAAACCACTGCAAGCAATGACTATTTACATTTGGCACTTATTGCAGGAATGACAACTTTGGTACGATTTATGTATTCTTTGGTAGGAGTAAGCACGAGGAGGGTAATAACTTGCAAAGTATAAGCAAAATTCGGGCGGTTCGACCGCCCCAACAATCCAATCAATTCGCAGAACATGTCTTCAACCGAAAAAATTCAACTAGAATCGCTAACAGACAGTAAACAGTAAATTTTCTGATTGTATCTAAATATATATTATAAATACGTTATATCATTGTAAAAAATTAAAAATAACGAATCTTTGGCTTGTTCCCCATTACCAATCTTTTTTGTAAAGTATCCATCATAATTTAATGACAATATTGTCAATATTTGTAGTTTTCACAGATCAGACCTAATTTACACGGTATTATCTGAAATACCATTGAGACTGGGGATCAGTGGGTGGCACCAAGAACTCTTGATGCCAGGGCCAGTTCAGTTAATGGATCGGGGCCTTTACAATGTGGTTCGGAGCAATGTAGTGGTATCCCGGCATCGGCAAGCCTGCAGTCTCCATCGATATCCTGGCAAACATACACATTATACACCTCCAGACCTTCCGAGAACTCGCGCCACACAATCTTGCGATCACGTGACAAAAAAGTGCCAAAAACTCGCACTGTTCCACTGTTCACGATTCGAGAACGGCGTCGACGTGCGGGTTGTTGGCACCGTGCGTTGCGTCGTCACCATCGAAAGCTACTCTACTGAAACTCCCGTATTAACTAATGTTAATTCGGATTAGACAGGAAACAAAATAATTTAACTAGTCGGTTAAAAGCAAAATAGTTAATGGAAGCGCCATTCCTGCTCGGTTCGCAACAGAGATGGCGCTTTGTTGTTTAAATTTAGAGTCGTTAGGCATCGATAGGAAAATGGATGGTCAAGCTTACCGGGAATGTGATTCTTCTTGCCTGGATTGATTGGTAAGGCATCGGTCTGTTAGCAGGCTTAGGAGATGGACACACAAACCAAATTACAACTTTCACACTCCAATTTTTTAGCTCGCTCTTGATAGGTTCTTTACTACATAGGGATTTGTTTAATCGTAGACATACGATTTCAGAAAAATCGGTGCTTGTAGCTACATTTTTTTTGGTGTTTGCTAATTGTAAAGTTATAGGTAAGTTACGAAGAAAAAACATTTAAAATGATGCAGAATCAAGTCTACTTAATTTAAACACAGGATATTAAATCTGTTTTGACGTCATTGGGTTTTTAATGAGGTCGCATATTTTATCAAGCTGTTACCTAATTACCCACAGTCCAATTTAACTATGAAGGTTGGCTAAAGTTAATCCTACGTCGGTTTTAATGTCAGTTTTACGACACTTCGCGAAAAATGATTTTTCTCATTGAAGAGATGGACCGTGGAACAGAAATTACCTCGGTTTTTGATTAAATTGACATTCTCATAAAATTTTATTTTAAAATGAAACTTGATAATTTTTTATCATTATTACTGTTATTAATTATAACTGGGTCAGTACTTTGATTTTTTGCATATTACATGTCGATTTAGAAGTGCTGAATCTACACCTTGTCCATTTTCATATGCTGACGTTAAATAAATTAAACGTATGATTCTTTAATTCAAAATGGTAACCAAATATTATAGTTCAAATTTTTAAGAACAAAATTATAAATTAGCACTGATTCTGAATATAAATTCTATTGAAAAAACATCTATGCCTTGTTCATTTTCATATGCTGACGTTTCAGGTCAAATAGATCTAACTTTATACATAATTGAAAATTATTATTTAACGTAGTAGAGTAATTAAAAAAATACGTAGATCGAATTTAATACATAATTGACAATTATGATCTCAATTTTTAAATATACCGTGTGATCCGAAATGACTGAGTCTGTTGGTAATCCTGGATTTTTAGTTGAAATTGGTATCATGATGTTTTATATCATTTCCGGATGTCAGCTGTCAAGATTGACAAATTGTCGACATTTTTAAATTTGCAAAATGTATCCAAAATATAACCTAAATTTATCGCATGTCACGAATGACATATCCGTCACAGAATTACTTCTGTTATACCAACATAAACGCAAGAAAAGTTCGCATTTTTATTTAAAAAGTACTGCCAATAGACTCGGTAATTTCTGATCACGCGGTAAGTCTAAAAGGAAACTTTATAAATATATTTTATTCTCTTGTGTCAATTTCGTACATTTTGCGGATTTTTCCGCCAAAAACTCATGTTTCAAGATCTTGAAATTTTTGACATTTTCAAATCTCGATTTATTGAGATTTTGATGTTTCGATTATTCGATTGTTCAATTTCCCGATTTTTCCATTTTTGGTTTTTTCATTTTCCCATTTTTCAATGTTTCAAATTTTCAAGTTTTCAATTTTGGGAATGTTTCAATTTCCAGAATTTAAAATTTTTCGATTTTTTGAAGCTTCGATTTCAAAATTTTTAAATTTTTCGATTTTTTCGTTTTCTCAGTTTTTCGATTTTCATATTTTACAATTTTTTGATTATTCAACTTTTTTATATTTTGATTTCTCGATGTTTAAAATTCTCGTTTTTTCAATTTTTCACCGGTTTTCCGTTTTTTTTAATTATAATCAATTTATCGATTTTTTGATTTCTTGTTTTTTCAGTTTTTCGATTTTTTGAAGCTTCGATTTCAAGATTTTTCAATGTTTTTGAAAATCTTGGTCCAAGCTGCTTTTCGATACAGCTTGTTACGATCAATATTTGAGAATTTGTGGATTTTCAGGCCAAAAGTTAGAAAATATTATCTTAAAACTGAATACATATTTTGAAAATCTTGGCTCATGTTTCAAATTTTTGACATTTTCAAAATATGGTCTTAAAACTGAATATTTTGAAAATCTTGTTCCCAGCTGCTTTTCGATATAGTTTGTCGAGATTTATATTATAGAATTTGTGGGTTTTCGGGCAACTTTCTCGATCTTTCAATTTTACATCTTTCGGTTTGTAAATTTTTCAAATTTTTATTTTTTCGATTTATCAAATTATTGAGATTTTGACGTTTCGATTATTCGATTGTTCAGTTTCCCGATTTTTCAATTTTTAAATTTGTCGATATTTCGATTTTACCTTTTCTCGATTTTCCCATTTTTCAATGTTTCAAATTTTCAATTTTTCGATTTCTCAATTTTTTGACATTTAAGTTTTGGGATTTTTTAATTTCTCGAGTTTTAAAATTTTCGAAACCTACTTCAATTTTTCAATTCTTTAAATTTTAGATTTTTCGTCTTTCCGATTTCCCCTTTTTTGATTTTTCAGCTTCTCGAATTGTCAATTTTTCATTTTTAAAAATTTTTCGATTTTAAGATTTTTTGATGTTCCGACTTCCCAATTTTTAATTTATTAATGCATATTTCAATATTTCGATTTGTCAACATCTCAATTCTTTGATTCTTAAAATTTTTTGGCTTTTCGATTTTTCAAGTTTTCAATTTCGAAATTTTTCAACATTTCAATTTTGGGAATGTTTCAATTTCCGGAATTTAAAAATTTTCGATTTTTTACCACTTTTTTTGAATTAACCAATTTTTCGATTTCTCATTTTTTCAGTTTTTCAATTTTTTGAAGCTTCGATTTCAAAATTTTTCAATTTTTCCAATTTTTAAATTTTAGTTTATTCAACTTTTTTATATTTTGATTTCTCGAGCTTTCCATTTTACAACATTTTGGTATTCGATTTTTCGATGTTAAAAATTTTTGATTTTTCAATTTTTCGATTTTTCACCGTTTTCTGGATTATAATCAATTTATCGATTTTTTGATTTCTTGTTTTTTCAATTTTTCGATTTTTTGAAGCTTTGATTTCAAGATTTTTCAATGTTTTTGAAAATCTTGGTCCAAGCTGCGTTTCGATACAGCTTGTTGAGATCAATATTTGAGAATTTGTGGATTTTCAGGCCAAAAGTTAAATTTTTTACAATTTTGAAAATTTCGACCTTTTTCCGAGCATTTTCGAAAATGTATTTGATTCCCTGTAGCGTCTAAATTAGCTTATGTTTCAAGATTTTGAAATTTTTAACTTTTAGAAAATATTATCTTAAAACTGAATATTTTGAAAATTTTGTTCCCAGCTGCTTTTCGATATAGTTTGTCGAGATTTATATTATAGAATTTGTGGATTTTCGGGTAACTTTCTCGATCTTTCAATTTTAGATTTTTCGGTTTGTAAATTTTTCAAATTTTTAGTTTTTCGATTTTTCAATATAACGATTTCTCGATTTATTGAGATTTTGACGTTTCGATTATTCGATTGTTCAGTTTCCCGATTTTTCAATTTTTGGACATTTCAGTTCTGGGATTTTTTAATTTCTCGAGTTCTAATATTTTCGAAACCTACTTCAGTTTCTCAATTCTTTAAATTTTAGATTTTTTGTTTTTCCGATTTCTCTATTTTTGATTTTTCAGCTTCTCGAATTGTCAATTTTTCAATTTTTAAAATTTTTCGATATTAAGATTTCTTGATGTTTCGATTTCCCAATTTTTAATTTATTAATGTATATTTCAATATTTGGATTTTTCGAATTTTCAAGTTTTCAATTTCTCAATTTTTCAACATTACGATTTTTTACCGCTTTTTTTGAATTAACCAATTTTTCGATATTTTCATTTTCTGTTTTTCAGTTCTTCGATTTTTATATTTTGAATTCTCGAACTTTTCATTTTACATTTAGGTATTCGATTTTTCGATGTTTAAAATTTTGGATTTTTCAATTTTTCACCGTTTTTTTGGATTATAATCAATTTACCGATTTTTTGATTTTTCAGTTTTTCGATTTTTGTAAGCTTCGATTTCAAGATTTTTCAATGTTCAGCTTGTCGAGATTTATATTTTAGAATTTGTGGATTTTCGAGCAACTTCGCTAGAAATTCAATTTTTCAAAATTTTGCAAATTTCGACCTTTTTCTGAGCACTTTCGAAAGTGTATTTGATTCCCTGTATGCAGCATCTAAATTAGCTCATGTTTCAAGATCTTGAAATTTTTGACTTTTTGAAAATATTATCTTAAAACTGAATATTTTGAAAATATTGGCTCATGTTTCAAGATCTTGAAATTTTTGACATTTTCAAAATATGATCTTAGAACTGAATATTTTGAAAATCTTGGTCCAAGCTGTTTTTGATTCTTTTAAAATTCGTGGATTTTCAGCCCAAACGTTCAATTTTCCAAAATTTTGAAAATTTCGACCTTTTTCCGAGCACGTTTGGAAATGTGTTCTATTCCCTGTATATAGCGCCTAAATTAGCTCACGTTTCAAGATCTTCAATTTTTTGACATTTTCAAAATACGGTCTAGGACAATTCGGCGCGGCCGACTTGGCGCGGCCAACTTGGCGCGGCCGACTTGGCGCGAGACATTTTGGCGCAAAGCCAACTTGGCGCAGGGACACTTTGGCGCAAGCCATCTTGGCGTGGACCATCTTGGCGCGAATGAACTCGCACCAAGAAAAATGGATATAATTATACAAAAATTGTACCCATTGTTAGCATAACCTAATTTTTTAGGGTCTCCAATGCGTGGAGGGGTAATGGCGACTTTTTAATGGACACACGGGCGCTTCGCGCCCTGCACCCCATTATAAACATACTCCTAAACGTGGAACTTCTTGCTCCGTGGATCATTTAGTTATTGGAATTTGTGCGAATGAAACTGTGTATTTGGTTGCCTACACTTAGCATAAATAACAGGGTGCAAACCACGATACAAAAAATAAATATTTTTTATATTATATACCGACGTACTGGCGCCAAGATGGCTCGCGCCAAGATTGCTTGCGCCAAAGTGTCCCTGCGCCAAGTTGGCCTTGCGCCAAAATGGCTCGCGCCAAGTCGGCCGCGCCAAGTTGGCCGCGCCAAGTTGGCCGCGCCAAGTCGGCCGCGCCAAATAGTCCCATTCCGTTCAAAATATGACCTTAAAACTGAATATTTTGAAAATATTGGCTCATGTTTCAAGATCTTGAAATTTTTGACAATTTCAAAATATGACCTTAAAAGTGAATATTTTGAAAATCTTGTTCCCTGCTTTTTGAATCTTCTAGAATTTGTGGATTTTCATGTCAAGTCCGATTTTCCAAAATTTTGAAAATTTCGACCATTTTCCAAGCATTTTCGAAAATGTATTTAAACCCCTGTATGTAGCGCCTAAATTAGCCCATATTTCAAGACCTTGAAATTTTCGACATTTTCAAAATATGATCTGAAACCTGAATATTTTGAAAATATTGGCTCATGTTTCAAGATCCTGAAATTTTTGACATTTTCAAAATATGATCTTAAACCTGAATATTTTGAAAATCTTGGCTCATGTTTCAAGATCTTGAAATTTTTGAAATTTCCAAAATATGGTCTTAAAACTGAATATTTTGAAAATCGTGGTCCAAGCTGTTTGATTCTTTTAGAATTCGTGGATTTTCAGGCCAAACGTTCAATTTTCCAAAATTTTGAAAATTTCGACTTTTTTCCGAGCACTTTTGGAAATGTATTCTATTCCCTGTTTATAGCGCCTAAATTTGCTCACGTTTCAAGATCTTGAATTTTTTGACATTTTTAAAATATGACCTTAAAACTGAATATTTTGAAAATATTGGTTCACGTTTCAAGACCTTGAATTTTTTGACATTTTCAAAATATGACCTTAAAACTGAATATTTTGAAAATCTTGGTCCAAGCTGTTTTTTGAATCTTTTAGAATTTGTGGATTTTCTGGCCAAAGTCCGATTTTCCAAACTTTTGAAAATTTCGACCTTTTTCCGAGCACTTTCGAAAATGTATTTTATTCCCTGTATGTAGTGTCTAAATTAGCTCATGTTTCAAGATCTTGAAATTTTCGACATTTTCAAAATATGTTTTTTGAATCTTTTAGAATTTGCGGATTTTCAGGTCAAAGTCCGATTTTTCAAAATTTTGAAAAGTTCGACATTTTTCCGAACACTTTTGAAAATGTATTTTATTCCGTGTAACTTAGCTCGTTTAAGATCTTGAAATTTTTGACATTTGACATATTGACTTTTTAATTATTTCAAAAATGTACGTATATATATTTTTGTTACAAACGTTAAATTTTGTTTTTTAGTAACTGGTTTTCATAAATTCGTTTTTTCAATTAATAATAAGGTACATTAAAAAAAGATCTTTTTACCATCTGAGAAAAATCGTCGTATGGTAAAAAGCAAATTTAATGTCACTTTGAACAATACGGTTATGTTGGTAACCGCCCTCAAGCTGCCAACCCAAAATAGAACGATTTTTTCCCTTTTTGTGCATCAAATCATGAAATAAACTTGATTATGTGACACCTAAGGAATGTTCATTTTATAAAGCGGACACTGAAAAACTGCTACTAATTCGAGTACTTTGGGCTAATTTAATTATTTTTGTTATAAAAATGTTTAACAATGTTAAATGAAATAATTATTCTTATTCTCTAATCAATTATATTCAGAAACTATAAAATTTTCTAACTATTGCGCGAATACCGCGAATCACTGTTTGCACAGGTTTGTTTGTGATTTTCTTCGTAGCAGGAGGCCACATTTTTTTTAATTCTCCAAGTCATGATGTTGTTCGGCCATCTTTTCTTAACACTGATTTCATATTTGCCCATTATCGCTCAAGTGGACGAAGCTCAGGACAGTTGGGTGGTTTATCTTCCTTTTTTAAAAACTGTACATTATTGGCATTAAGAAGCTCCTGAGTGGCACCAGCGTAGTGAACCGAAGCCAAATCTGGCCAAAACAATGGAGGGTTATGATGTTTGCGATAAACAGGCGATAATCGCGTTTTTAAACATTCTTTCCTGTAATCATCGCCCCGAATTGTTCCAATCATAAAAAAAAAACTAAAACTTTTTAGCCCACAAGAACAAATCGGTTGCCACACTAAGACTTTTTTCCCAAACTTTTCAATTGTTTTTTGTTTTCATGTCATCGAGGACATTCCCCTACGACTGCATTATAAAACTGGGAGCCGGGTAGTGTATTGCAGTCCATTTTGATCTTCGTTTCGTTGTCCATCAAAACACAACGATTTTTGTTCCTGACCAAAATTGTTTATAACTTCCTGCTTTTTTTTTGAAACTTTATGCGCTGCTTTTCGCTTCTTTTTGGGATTTTTTGCTTTAATACGTTCTAATGTTATTCCGAGTCTTTATATTTTGTACAGTACCTACGGTAACACCTTGCTTCTTCGGTATTTCCCGCACAGACATACATTTCGTTAATTTTAGCAGTTTAATGATGTTTTCCTCAATATTTTCGTTAAGCGGGCCTTTTCTCGGTCTGGATTTGAGTAAATCTTCTAAAGTATTAAACTCCCCAAACTTTTTGATTATTTGGAACACTGCTGATTTTGAACATTTAGTTATTTTAGGCAGTCCCCCCAACGGAAATTTTTCGTAGCATCACTTTTGCAAAGATAATTTTCTTGCCCCAATGGCGATTCGCTTCATTTTAAAAAGAAATAACGTTATTTTGAAAACAAAAATGACATTTAATAGATACAACTTAAAGCTTTCATATATAAAAACTAGAATAATTTAGATTAAAAATTAGAAAAGTGGCGTTACTTTAAAGGTGTCCGTTTAATAAAATGAACACTCCTTACTACATTTTACACTATGTTTACAAGTAAATTAAAAATATTAGAGCGCTGACTTTTCGCTGATCGTTAACGTAATTTAAAAATAGCACCAGATTTAATAGCCCGGCATTTTGCAAACCAAGTTAGATTATTTAGGCCAAACAACACTGTTATGATTCCATGTAATAATAAATTTTATACAATATCAATATTAGCCTATTTGGCCATGTTTATGAAACAAAGTTACAACATGAAAGTTTAGTAGCACCATGTTGTATGAAAGCATAAAAGCTTTGTTTCAACCCCGGGGTAGCACTGCTTAACAATTAATTTATGTACAAATTGTTAAATTTGATCACTGACGAAAATGAGAAGTAATGCAGGTTGTAATACGGATCCAGGTGAAGTTGTAAACTTGACTCTATATCGATAAATGTTTATTTTATTGTGTTAAAAGACTTGTAATTTACCTACAACTGTGAAAAGATATTTGGTTGAATGAACGGTTTTGTTTTTTTTTCTAACTACGCTTTAAACTTGAATAAAGAAAATTTATTAAACACACAATGTATTGGTCTCTATTAAATACACTGAAGTCTTAATTTTAGACACTAATATAAAATTATGGTCTCTAAGATGTACCTACAAAGAAAGTAAAAACAAACTTAGTTCCTAAACAAACACTTAGTATTACCAATTAATATTATTCATTATTGTATGATAAAAATTACGTTTTAAACTTAAATATCGAAAGCTCATTTTGATCCTCGAAAATCTATAGAAAACACACAGATGTTTAAAACCTTAATGCTGCTGATATGTCAACAACAAAGCTGCCTACTAACCAGGCATGAATTTTGTACAAAACTATAGTCTATAAATTCCATACTGCAGACGAAGTCTAATAGCAAATAAAGTAGCATAATTACGGTCTATTCAACGATACAAGTGTAAATAAAGTCAGCTCGCGCCATGCAATGCCGAAAACTAAAAATCGCAGTTTTGTATATAAAGTGATAAAAAGATCAAAATAGTCGCACAATAATCAACTGAACTGAATGAGTACTTCCGCGCCCTCTCGCGGGCAACCGCTACATCCTCAGCAAATCAATCGTAAAATAAAGAATAAATTTGTAAAAAAATTGTACAACGTGCGGTAAGCGCAGGTCCCTAGTAAGGATTGAACTTGTTCCTCTCGCTCTTGAGCTTGGAGCCCTCGGAGGGCCCGCCGCTGCCTCCAGGGGACCGGAGCCGCGGGGTGTAGCTCTTGTGGGTGCGGTGAACGCCGGTGGTCTGGACAGGAGGAGCGCCTGCCTGCCCGCCCAACAATTCGGTTAAACCGCCCAGCGCGCTGAGGCTGGTCAGCGCGTTGAGGGCGCCCGGCTTGGCCAATAGTTGGGCTAGAGGAATGGCACTGGCCAGGGGAGAGGCAGCGGTGGAGGACTGGCTGGACCCGCCAGTGCTAGGAGAGTTTTGGGCCTCAAGGTTAGCTTTCTGCAGCTCAACACTGGGGAAACACACAGAAACCAGGACTGTAATGATCGCAGTGAGCAACGGTCGGGGGGTGCATGGTTGCCTCTGCAGCACTCAGTCGAGCTCGGTCTGTCCATCGCGCCCAAACCAAACAAAAACGATCAACGCGAACATTACTTTTTATTACTCAACAAGTGTACAATCGCTCGTAAAACAAAAATTAAAATAATAAAAAAAAAAAACACGAAAATTACTAAACGCCAAGCGACGCCGTCCTCCAACACGGTTTTGCTCTTCTGACGTAAACAATTAACTATAAAAATAAAACGTTAATCAATTTCAGGTTTTTGTCAAGATGGAAGCCAGACGAAGCTGCTCAGATTTATTAGACTTAGTATTTCAAAGGCAACGGCTCATTACAGAACATGGACGCGGCAACTGGCTGGAAGAGGCATTAACTAAGGACTAAGGTCGTCCATTGATTCGGTGAATTTAGCAATCTCGATGCTCCGGAGACGCGAAATTTCTCTCGTGTGATTCAAGTTGCGGTCAATTGATCGAAGATGTTCAATTTTCAGCTCTATTCAACTATTTTATCAGTAATAAAATTATACGCTTGTCTTGCTACACGCTTCGGCGCTCGTTCTCCAAAATTGGAACAATTCTTTAACACAGTAACTACATTTTTTGAAAAAATAAAAAAATATATCAATTTCCGATTTTATTTTATGTTCATGTCACGATATACATGTTGGTGCCCTTCAAAAAAATTGTGACGTCGAAGAATAATTATAATCAAATTTTGTGAGCTACAATAAAATCATCGTTTGAAGAAAAATTAGGTTTCGCGTTTCCGTCTCTGACATTACTCTGTCCGTCTGTTACTTTGAATAATGGACGAATTTTTGGATTATCGTATCAAAACTCAAAAATTTTATTAAATTTATCTGTGGTATTTTATGAGGTTTTAGAACCTAAACAATAGAAATCTTTGAAATTTTAATAAACAGAATACTGACTAAAATTTATTTTCTCGTTCCCTGAAATGAAATGAAATGTGGTCTTTGTCATACTTTACAAATTTAATTTTTCACAACTTTTTATGCAAGATTTCTAAAAAAAATAATAAATAAATGTATGACCCAATTTGTTTCCAGTATTTTGATTTTTGAAATGGTTATCCTTCAAAAATCAGGCAAGTTCCCTTCAAAGAACTTTGATTTTTTTTTCAATTTTAGGATTTCTACAGCATTTTCATTAAGTAACTTTCGACAATCCCCAGAACTTATTAGAAGTTTTATTTTCTACAAATCAAACTGTTGTTATTTATATTTAATTGTAGATGTTATTAATGAAGAACTTTCCTAATCTCTGAAGCTCAATCAAACAAGTATAGTTAGATATTTAATTTTAGAGAATTTTTTTTTTTTTTAATTTAAATTAAATACAAAAAAAAAAACATTGTTTCAATACATTTATGCAAGCATACCTCATTTCAAATGAGATTTGCTTGCAAAATTTTGAGATGACGTCATCACTCTTTGGTTGAAGCTTCACCATTAAAACGAATCTAAAATTTCACAACAATCTGCCCACGTACTGGTATTGGATACTATATGCTAAAAAAAATCGTTAACAGACGCATATAGACGGAAACGGGCGACCTACTTTTTAAAATTCTAAGAAACTCTTAACTCAATTAGTAATGTGTTTATCTCTTTACGTTAAAATTGCGCAAGACGATAACTTCGTGTGGCGAAAATTTTAACAAACTGTGAACGCGTTTCAGTCATCGACAAGTAGTTATATGGTGGGGGTTCTAGTACAGTTTGACCTCATTTGACCTGTCGTAAGACACCCATTATTTGTGTCGGGCATTTGAGCTATCTTAAGACCCGATCATTTTTTGTCGACAAATTTGAACTGTCTTGTGATCCCCGTCACTTTTGTACCAATTAGGCCCCCGTCATTTTCTTGTCATCAATTTGACCTGTCATAGAACGCCTGTTATTTTTTATTGACCATTTGTCAACAAAATTGTTGTCTTGTTTTCTTAGAAACCCCATTACTTTTTCCCGACCAATTTGGCTTGTCATAGGACCTAGATCATTTTTGTCAACCATTTGACCCGTGTTAGGACCCATCATTTTTTCTCGACCAATTTGATCTGTCTTAGGACCCCCTATCATTTTTTTGTCGACCGGTTCTTGGCTTGTCTTAGGACCCCCATCATTTTTTCCAACCAATTTGACCTCTTGTTAGGATCTCCATAATTTTTGTCAACCATTTGGTCGCCTCTCTTAGGACTTTTTCTTAAACACTTAGGTTTGTTTTAGGACCCCCCCATCACCTTTTTCCATCCAATTTGACTGTCTTTGGAATCCCTTCACTTTTTCCCGACCAAATTGGCCTGTTTTAGGAACCTCATCATTTTTTGTCAATGATTTGTTGACCTGTCTTAGGACTTCCATGACTTTTTCCCGACCAATATGACATGTCATAGGACCCTTATCATTTTTTGTTGGCCATTTGTTAACCTGCTTTAGGACCCCCATTACTTTTTGTCAAACAATTTGACATCTTTTTAGGATCCACATCATTTTTTCCCGACCAATTTGACTTGTCATAGGACGTAGATCCCTTTTTCCCGACCAATTTGATGTCTTAGGACCCCCTCCATCATCTTCCCCCACCAATTTGTCTTGTATTAAGATCTCCATCATTTTTGTCGACCATTTCTTGACCTGTCTTAGGGCTTTTTCTTGAACAATTTGGTCTGTTTTATGACCCCCATCAGTTTTTCCCATCCAATTTGACTGTCTTTGGAACCCCATTATTTTTTGTCGACCAGTTGTGGACCTGTCTTAGGACTCTCTTCACTTTTTCCTGACCAAATTGACCTATCTTAGGACCGCTATCACTTTTTCCAGGCCAATATGACTTGTCGTAGGACCCCTATCATTTTTTGTTAGACATTTGTTGGCTTGCCTTAGGACCCCCATTACTTTTTGTCAAACAATTTTACATGTTTTTAGGATCCACATCATTTTTTCCCGACCGATTTGACTTGTCATAGGACCTAGATCATTTTTGCCGACCATTTGACCTGTGATAGGATCATATCTCTTTTTTCCGACCAATTTGATGTCTTAAGACCTCTCTCATTTTTAGTCGACCAGTTCTTGGTTAGGACCCCCTCCCCATCATTTTCCCCCACCAATTTGACTTGTATTAAGATCTCCATAATTTTTGTCGACCATTTCTTGACCTGTCTTAGGGCTTTCTCTTGAACAATTTGGTCAGTTTTAGGACCCCGATCACTTTTTCCCATCCAATTTGACCGTCTTTGAAACCCCATCATTTTTTGTCAACCAGTTGTGGACCTGTCTTAGGACTCCCACCATTCTTTGTCAACGATTTGTTGACCTCTCTTAGGACCCCCAGCATTTTTTGGCGATCATTTGACCTGTCTTAAGACCTCCATCACTTTTTCCCGACCAATTTGACTTGTCTTAGGACCCTATCACTTTTTTCTGACCAATTTGATCTATTTTAGGACCCCTATCATTTTTGTCGACCGATTCTTGACCTGTCTTAGGAACCTTATTATTTTTTACCATTTGACCTGTCTTAGGACCCCCCCATCATTTTCCTCACCAATTTGACCTGTCTTAAGATCTCCATAATTTTTGTCGACTATTTGTTGGCCTGTCTTAGGGCTTTTTCTTGAACAGTTTGGTCTGTTTTAGGACCCCCATCACTTTTTCCCGTCCAATTTGACTGTCTTTGAAACCCCCGCATCGTTTTTTGTTTGCCATTTTGTTGGCTTGCCTTAGGACCCCCATTACTTTTTGTCAAACAATCCATCACTGTTTCCCGACCAATTTGACTTGTCATAGGATCTAGATCATTTTTGTCAACCATTTGACCTGTGTTAGGACCCATCATTTTTTCTCGACCAATTTGATGTGTCTTAGGACCTCCTATCATTTGTCGACCAGTTCTTGGCCTGTCTTAGGGCTCCCATTACTTTTTACCAATTGACCTATCTTAGGACCCCCCTCCCCATAATTTTCCCCCACCAATTTGACCTCTCTTAAGATCTCCATAATTTTTGTCGACCATTTGTTGGCCTGTCTTAAGACTCCCTTCACTTTTTCCTGACCAAATTGACCTGTCTTAAGACCCCCATCACTTTTTCCGAGCAATATGACTTGTCATAGGACCTCCATTACATTTTATCAAATAATTTGACATGTTTTTATGATCCACATAATTTTTTCCCGACCAATTTGATCTGTCTTAGGATGTCCATCACTTTTTGCCGATCAATTTGACTTGTCATAGGACCTAGATCATTTTTGTCGACCATTTGACCTATGTTTGGAGCCTGTCACTTTTTCCCGACCAATTTGATATGTCCTAGGACCATTATCATTTTTTGTCGAGCAGTTGTTGGCCTGCTTAGGACTTTTTCTTGAACATTTTGGTCTCTTTTTAGGACCCCCATCACTTTTTCCCATCCAATTTGATTGTCTTTGGAATCTCATCATTTTTAGTCGACCATTTGTTGACTTGTCTTAGGATCTCCTTCGCATTTTCCTGACCAAATTGACCTGTCTTAGGACCCCCAGCATTTTTTGTCGATCATTTGACGTGTCTTAAGACCCCCCCATCACTTTTTCCCGACCAATGACTTGTCGTAGGACCTCCTTTACATTTTGTCAAAAATTTGACATGTTTTTATGATCCACATCATTTTTTCCCGACCAATTTGATCTGTCTTAGGATCTCCATCACTTTTTCCCAATCAATTTGACTTGTCATAGGACCTAGATCATTTTTGTCGACCATTTGACCTGTGTTTGGACCCTGTCACTTTTTCTCGACCAATTTGATATGTCCTAAGTCCCCGATCATTTTTTGTCGAGCGGTTGTTGGCCTGCTTAGGACTTTTTCTTGAACAATTTGGTCTGTTTTAGGACCCCCATCATTTTTTCCCATCCAATTTGATTGTCTTTGGAACCCCATCATTTTTAGTCGACCATTTGATGACTTTTCTTAGGATCTCCTTCGCATTTTCCTAACCAAATTGACCTGTCTTAGGACCCCTATCATTTTTTGTCAACGATTTGTTGATCTGCCTTAGGACCCCCAGCATTTTTTGTCGATCACTTGACCTATCTTAAGACCCCTCATCACTTTTTCGCGACCAATGACTTGTCGTAGGACCTCCATTACATTTTGTCAAATAATTTGACATGTTTTTATGATCTCTATCACTTTTTCCCGATCAATTTGACTTGTCATAGGACCTAGATGATTTTTGTCGACCATTTGACCTGCGTTAGGACCCTATCACTTTTTCCCCACCAATTTGATCTGTTTTAGGTCCCCGCTGATTTTTTGTCAACCAGTTGTTGGCCTGTCTTAGGACTTTTTCTTGAACAATTTGGTCTCTTTTAGGAACCCAATCACTTTTTCCCATCCAATTTGACTGTCTTTGGAACCCCATTATTTTAGTCGACCATTTGTTGACTTGTCTTAGGATCTCCTTCGTATTGTCCTGACCAAATTGACCTGTCTTAGGACCCCCAGCATTTTTTACCGATCATTTGACCTGTCTAAAGACCCCCCATCACTTTTTCCCGAGCAATGACTTGTCGTAGGACCTCCATTACATTTTGTCAAACAATTTAACATGTTTTTATGATCCACATCATTTTTTCTCGACCAATTTGATCTGTCTTAGGATCGCCATCACTTTTTCCCGATCAATTTGACTTGTCTTAGGACCTCCTTCACTTTTTCCTGACCAAATTGACTTGTCTTAGAGCCCCCAGCATTTTTTGTCGATCATTTGACCTGTCTTAAGACCCCCATTACTTTTTCTTTTGCCTTCGTCGTAGGACTCCTCTCATTTTTGTTTGCCATTTATTGGCTTGCTTTAGGACCCCCATCATTTTTTTCCCGACCAATTTAACTGGCTTAGGAACTTCATCACTTTTTCCCGATCAAATGTTACTTGTCGTAGATCAATTTTGTCGACTATTTGACCTGTGTTAGGACCCTATCACTTTTTCCCGACCATTTTGATCTCTTTTAGGACCCCTATCATTTTTTATCGACCAGTTGTTGGCCTGTCTTAGAACTTACATTACTTTTTACCATTTGACCTGTCTTAGGACCCCCCAAATTTTTTTCCCACCAATTTGACCTGTCTTATGATCTCCATTATTTTTGTCGACCATTTGTTGGCCTCTCTTAAGACTTTTTCTCAACCAATTTGACTTTTTTTGGAACCTCATAATTTTTTGGCGACTATTTGACCTGTCCTAGGGCTCCCTTCACTTTTTCCTAACCAAATTCATGTCTTAGGACTCCCAGCATTTTTTTGTCGATCATTTGACCTATCTTAGGATCGTCATCACTTTTTCCCGACCAATTTGACTCGTCTTATGACGTAGATCATTTTTGTCGACCATTTGACCTGTGTTAGGCCCCTATCATTTTTTCGCGACCAATTTGATCTGTATTAGGACTACCATCATATTTTGTTGACCAGTTCTTGGCCTGTCTTAGGACTCTCATTACTTTTTACCATTTGACCTGTCTTAGGACCCCCCCCCCCCATAATGTTTCTCCACCAATTTGACCTGTCTTAAGATCTCCATAATTTTTGTCGACCAGTTGTTGGTTTGTCTTAGGACTTCCATTACGTTTTATCATTTGACCTGTCTTATGACCCCGGTTCCCATCATTTTCCCCCACCAATTTGACCTGCCTTAAGATCTCCGTAATTTGTGTCCGCCATTTGTTGGCCTGTCTTGGGATTTTTTTTTGAACAATTTGGTCAATTTTAGGACTCCCATCACTTCTTCCCATCCAATTTGACTGCCTTTAAAACCCCATCTTTTTTTGTCGATAATTTGTTGACCTGTCTTAGGATAGGAGCCCCAATACTTTTTCCTCACCAAATTGACCTGTCTTAGGACCCCCATTACTTCTTGTCAACGAATTTGATAGTCAAAGACTCATCGATAGAAAATGATGGAGATCCTAGGATAGGTCAAATGAGGTCAAACTGTCCTAGAACCCCCACCATATAGCGAATTTTATAGTTTAGCCCCAGAATTAGACAGCGTAGCTAGTGAAACTCGTCGATACATTTTAAATCCAGACCTACCTTTAGAAATCGACTGAATTACCATAATTCCGTTCTACTACCACAATCAATAAGAAATGATCACCGTAATGAATCATTAAAGTTAAACCAATCGCACGACTTTGATTACATCGCGTAATGAGATCATTACAGCACCGTTACAATTACGGGCTTGATTACTGCACTGTAACTCGAATTGTTCCATTTTCTCGAGAACGTCGCACTTACAACAAACCAACATTGAATCACATTTCGGATTAACCAAACTATTCGCGCCGGCATTAAACCAACTTCAAAAACGATTAAAGTTTCGCACACTTTTAACACTGGCAGATTATCATCGCGGCGAAATTCGCCAACAAAACACCCGCCGAACTTTTCCAATTGCCTTCACCGAATTAAAGGACGATGCATAAACAGAATAAAATAAAGGGGAAACTGGATCAGTTGATGTGTTATTGAGACTTGAAATAAAAGGACCAAAACCGTCGATTTAAATTTAACGGATAACAGGATCGAGGTGAGTTTTCCAGGATTCCAAGAACACATCAAATGATAGCGGGACTCTTATCAAGTCGACGATGGGCGTTTGTTCCGGACCTCCGACGATCCGCATCCTCTTCGTGTGTTGACGTCGTCGTCGTCCTAAATCACACGTTCGCGCCTCATCCACTCAAACTCGCACACCAGTTTCACCACATTACTGATAAATTATGGAAAGCAGTTATTAATCGGCAGGGACACGGGACATCGGGTTTAATGTCTCGATGCTAATTACGCCGCCGAATCCAAAAACGTGTACTTAGAAAAAAATTTGCTTGCATCGATCAGCTGGTGTTTTTGGCTCGGCACACGGTGTGTAAATGAATAGGTGAACCGGCGGAGCGCTGGAGGATAGTGGTGAAAGCTAGCCAGTTGGAGAATTATTTACCAGCGAACAAGGTTCAAATTTAAGACCTTTGTTATTTTATTTATTAATGAATGATCTTCCTGAACAGATATCTTGTAAATATTTTATCCCAACTTAATTTATGTAACATGGTTGGCTCACGCCTTAAGTTTAGTAGCTGAAGTTATCCGGAATCAATATGAAGATGTCAATAGTTTAATTTCTAAGGTAAAGAAATATTTCTTAAAGCTCGTTTGAGGATCCAAGCCTTCCGGGATTGTCTATTGCCTCCAGAACCTGTTCTGACAAGATGGGACTCATGGATTGAAGCGGCAATATATTATTACAAGTCAATAGTGTCTATGCAAATTTTAATGAAGAAAACTAGATTTTGGCTTTTAGGCACCCCCCCTCCCACGCACTGGCTAGTGTTCGCGACCGCCCTCCAAGCGCCCTAGACGCAGTCGCCGGCACCTCTAAACCTCGAATCGTGGCTCGGCCACGAAACCAAACTCCAATCCGCCAAGAAAAAACCGCAACAACTCCCTCACACTTACCTCATGTTGATGAGATACTGCGCCAGTGCCACGGCGTCCGGATTCCCGGAGATGGTGATCGTACGGTCGGTAACGCCACTCTCACGGTCATCACAGTTCGATATGCGGATCATCGCTCCGGAAATCTGTCTTATTTCGGCGATCTTCGTGCCGCCCTTGCCGATTATGCAACCGATCAGCTCATTCGGTACGGTCATCTCGTGTGTCTGTTGGTTGGAATTCTGCTGGTTTCGCGAATTCGACGTTCGAAGCTGAGATCCGGCGAGAGCCGCCAACGCTACGGGAGAGAATTAATACACAATAAAAGGCGATGAGGGGGGGGTTGCGTACAAGGGGGGACATTTTTTCGAAAGGCCGAGTCGGTTTGAGCGTAAAACTGCAGGAAGTATACTCGATTTTGTGACACTTGGGGTCTAATCAGTACGCACGGTTTTATTATACAGTAAAGTTATATAGGGTTATTTTCAGCGAAAACGGTTAGGGTTGGCCTGCAGTTTTATTTATGACACGTTATTTAAAGTGACCGGCCTTCACTAAAAATGTCAGGTATAAAAAATAAAGCTTTTTCTATAAAATAGGTCAAGTCTTTGTTATTTGATTCACTCAAGTTTTTTACATCACTCTGTATAGTTTAGTGATTTTTAGTTTGGCATTAATCCATTCTCCCGTTGTACTGATGTGATGTAACTGAACTATAATTTGAGTTTTGCGTAAAAAAAAACCTCTTGTTAAGATTTATGCACCTAGAGCACAAATACTTTAAGAAGAACGCACGAACAAAACGCTGCAGTGTTTTTTCTCATAGTATTTCTACTCTACCAGCACAATAAACATTCTAAACCTACACATACGCGTGAATTTATCCCCTTTTAAAAATAACGGGTGTACAGTTGTGAAAGTCTGACGTTTTTTTGATAGAAGAAATATGTAAAAGTGAGGTTAAAAAAAACCAGCGCCAACTTGATGACTTTTTCAACTGAACGCCCGAATCTCCGTCCACCATTTCTGACAAAACAACAAAGTATTACAAGGATCAATATTAGGTCACATCTAGTTTCTGGGTTTTGTACATACCTGACATTTAGTTTGTACCTAAACATTGTAATTTAAATTTATATGAGAACGATAATCAAAATTTGGGGTGTTGTCCTCAGGACAAGCTCTCATTAAAATGAACGCCGATTTTGGGGTAAAAAATTATAATTATAGGAATTATTTATACTATCGTCACTGCAGTTTTAATACCAATTTGCCGCTTCCACAAGGTACGTACACTGGCAAATTTGAGTGGATCGATATTTGTGATAGGCGACGAGTAGAAAGCAATCATCACAACGAAGCGGCAAATTCCAAGAAATTTCAAAGCCAACTTGACGTAGAATCTCGTATAATTGAAAGAAAGCCTATTTTAAACATAATACAAAAATTGTCGTATTCTAAAAAATGTGATAAACCACAATTACGTATACTCGAGCATTCGGATTTACAATTTCAATGTTAAAAATAATTTAAAAAATCGGAAAATCGAAAAATGAAAAATGTATAACCTAAAAAAAATTGAAAAACCGAAAAACTGAAAGATTAAAAAATCGAAAATTGAAAATCTAAAATTTAAAGAATCGAAAATTGAAAAATCTCAAAATTGAAGCGTAGAAGAGTTGGGAAATATCGAAAAATTGAGAAATTTGAAAATCAAAAAGCCGAAGAATCGAAAAATCAAAAACTAAGAAATCAAAAAATTGAAACATCAAACAATCGAGAAATCTAAAAAATTTAAATTTAAAAAATCAAAAAATTTATGAATATCAAAAACTAGAAAAATCCCAAAACTCAAATACCCAAAAATTGGATAATCGAAGAAAAATTCAAGAATTGAAAAACTGAAAAATAAAAAACCTGAAAAATCCAGAAATTGAAAAGTCGAAAAATCAAAAAATCGGTATCAAAAAATTGGAATTGAAAAATCGAAACATCAAAAAATTGTAACTGAAAAATCGTAACATCGAACTATTGAAACATCAAGAAATCGAAATACCAAAAATCGAAGAATGAAAATTTGAAAAAGTGAAAGTTGTAAATTAAAAAAAAAAATAAGAAAAAAAAACAAAATACCGAAGAATCGAAAAATTGAAAACTCAAATATCGAAAAATTGCAAAAGCAAAAAAAATTTTGAAGAATCAAAGAAAAATTGAAAAATCGAGAAGTCGAAAAATCAAAAAATTGGACAATTGAAACATCGAAATAGCAAAAATCGAGAAATCGAAATAGCCCAAAATCGAAGAATTAAAATTAGAAAAAGTGAAAGTTTTGAATAAAAAAAAAAAAAAAACGAAAGAGGAAAAATCAAAAAACTGAAGAACGAAAAACTGAGAAATCGAACAATTTAAAATTGAAGAATCGAAAAATTAAAAAAATCCCAAAACTCAAATATCGAAAAACTGAAACATCGAAAAACTGAGATATCGAAAATTGAAGAATCGGGAAATCGAAAGGTCGAAAAATTAAAAAATCGATTAACCGAAAAATCAAAAATTTAGAATCGTCATAAATATTGAAAAATTGAAAATCAAAACCTCAAAAAATTTTAATTGAAAAATGGAAACTTCGAACAATTGGAAAATTGAAACATCGAGAAATCCAAATATCAAAAGATCAAGAAATCGAATAGCCCAAAATTGAAAAATTAAAATTTGAAAAAGTCAAAAATTTTGAATTAAAACGAAAAAAATCGAAAACTGAAACATCGAAAAATTGAAAAATTGGGAAATCGAAAAGTCGAGAAATCAATAAATCCATTAACCGAAAAATCAAAAATTTAGAATGGTCAAAAATTGATACATGGGTATATTGAACAATTGTGAAATTAAAAAAAAAATCAAGAATCAAAGAAAAATTGAAGAACCGAAAAGTTGAAAAATCAAAAAATCGATTAACCGAAAATTCAAAAATTTGGAATCGTCAAAAATTGAAAAATCGAAAAATTGGAAAAGAAAAATTGAAACATCGAACAATTAGACAATTGAAACATCGAGAAATCGAAATATCAAAGATCGAGAAATCGAAATAGTCCAAAATCGAACAATTGAAGGAAAAATGAGAAATCGAAAATTTGAAAAATCCCAAAACTCAAATATCGAAAAATTGCAAAATCAAAAAAAAATTAAAGAATCGAAAAACTGAAACATCCCTAAATTGAAACATCGAAAAATTGAAAAATCGGAAAATCGAAAAGACAAAAAATCAATTCACCGAAAAATAAAAAATTTAGAATCGTCAAAAATTGAAACTGAAAAATCGAAACATCGAACAATTGGAAAATTGAAATATCGAGAAATCGAAATATCAAAAGATCGAGAAAGCGAATGGGCCAAAATCGAAAAATTAAAACCGAATATCAAAAAATTGAAGCATCGAAAATTGAAAAATGCCAAAATTCAAATATAGAAAAATTGCAAAACCGAAAATCTCAAAATTGAAACATCGAAAAGTCGAAAAATCAAAAAATTGAGAAATCGAAAAATTAAAAAAAAGGAACATCAAAAAATTGGAATTGAAAAATCGAAACATTGAACAATTGGACAATTGAAACATCGAGAAATCGAAATAGCTCAAAAACAAAAAAATAAATTTTAAATTAAAAAATTAAAATCAAAATGGAAAAATTAAAATTTTACAAAGTCAAAATTTTGGATTAAAACGAAAAAAAGAAAACTCAAAAAATTAAAATATCAAAAAATTCAAGAATCAAAAAACTGAAAAATCCCAAAATTCAATTATCCAAAATTGCAAAATCAAAACAAAATTCAAGAATCAACGAAAAATTGAACAATCAGAAAACTGAAATATCCCAAAAGTGAAACATCGAAAAATAATCAAAAACTTGGAATCGTCAAAAATTGAAATATTGAAAAATCGAAATAATGAAATTTGAAAAATATATAATTTAAAAAACGGAAAATTGAAAAATCAAAAAATGAGATCTCAAAATTTTAAAAATCAAAAAATTTAAACAAAAAAACTTAATCGAAAAATCGAAACAGTCCAAAATCGAAAAATTAAAATTTAAAAAAGTGAAAGTTTTAAATTAAAAAGAAAACGAAGAAGAAAAATGGAAAAACTGAACAAATAAAAAATCGAAAATTTGAAAAATCCCAAAACTCATAAATACAAAAATTAGAAAATCAAAGAAAAACTGAAGAATCGAAAAACTGGAAGATCCCAAAACTGAAACGTCGAAAAAATTACCTATCGAAAAAATGAAAATTCGTAAAACTGAAACATCGGAAAATAGAAAAATCGAAAAATAAAAAATTGGAAAATCAAAGAATCGAAAAATTGAAAAATCCAAAAAATGAAATAAAAATACTTACATGAAAAAACTGAAAAATGAAATTTTGAAAAACGGAAAAAACGAATTACATTAATCAATTACTAGAGATGGAAAAAAAGTTCTCTTTTCGTGACGGAACATACAACTTATTTTGGAACATACTATATATTTTTACATACTCAAATTCCTCGTCGTAGATTTTATAATCGTGGTCTATTTTTGATATTTTGATACGATGTTACCACGTTATTTCAATTTTCTTAACTTTTTTTAGCAATTTTTTAAGACTATTTTTAAAATCTGTGCTATAATATTTTATATAAGTAAACAGAGTTAGAGTAGGATTCTTTTCATTTTGGCAAGACGTTGTAAAACTGTACCGAGTGTTTATAAAAAATTCTAAAACATTACAATTTCCAAATATCGATATTTCAGTTGTGTCAAATTTAGTTTTCCAGGTCATCTTACTTTATTTTTTGTTCTATTTTTTGATAAGTCGGTGTGTCCCTTAAAAAGTGAAAAATTGCAAAAATCCATCGACTTTGAAAAAAAACTTAATAAACAAGAAAGAAAATAAAAACACATTAAGGTACAAAAATAAAATACAAGTGTTCTATTGAAAATTGTAATATTTTAATTTTTTTTATAATCACTCTGTATCTTTGTTTACCTCTCCGTAAAATATGTATTATACTATAGATTTTAAAAATAATCTTGAGTCGAAGTCGGTATTTGTTAGAAAAAACACAATTACGTTTAATATTTTAAGGCGATAACAAATTTCAAATTTCGCGGTTTTTGCCGCTTCGTTGTGATGATTGACGGGTCTGTCACAAATGTCAATTATAACCTAACTTTTTCGAATAATTCAAGGAAACAGAAAATTTTAGGGAAACGAACTTGATGACTTACAATATTTTTAAATAATTGCACATTCTAGAAACTTCAATTTGGACAAGCAATAACCAAGTTAATTTTCTGAGTAAATCTTTCATTTTACTTTATTTTGTATGTAATTGGTCACTTTCACAACTAAATACTGTTACGCAAATAACAATGTAATGAGTTTATTTTAGCATTTAACTCGAATTAAACCTGGAAGTGAAAGATTAACCCTAATGTACTACTGTAATGACTTCCTCCATAAAAAAAAAACTAAAAAAAAACTTAAAAAAACAAATACAGAACTAAACAAATAATTACGACACATAACATGTAGAACGTAAAAATCTTTATCAAACATGTTAGTAGACAAAGCCCTCTATGGTAATCAAACATTTTTTTTTTTTTTATATCGATAAAAATGGTAATTTCTTGCATAAAATTCGCTCTAATTTAAAAAAAAAAAAAACTTGTCATTTTCTGCAGGTATCATTAGTATTTATTTCAAAGTCGGATTCATTAAACACTTAACTTTATATCAACAACCTAGACATTCAATTTTCCACCTACTATCCACCGTCACATGTGAGGTATGCACAGCATAATTAAACCTTCCACGTGTATAACATAGTTAGTAATACAAGTTCAGTGTTAAGACGACTTAATGAATTTGGGGAGAAGGACCGGACACAACTACCTTCCGCGCCAAAAGCAAAAAACCGAGCTATCGATCACCTTGACCCATTTTATAGTACTTACAATCGAGTTTACCTGCTGGATTCAGTCCACCAGTGTTGGTCGGTGCAAGGCCTCCAAGTCCTAAGGCTGCTAGTCCTGCTAAAGGACTTTTACCAAGTGCACTCATCTGAAACAATCATACGGTTGGATTTACACCGACATGTTATAATTAAGCGTAAATCCCAGGTACTCCTGTTAATTACTACACTACATCACGGCGATTGATTTTCATTATGACCTATGTATGCATGATTCAATTGAGATTGATTCGGCTTCGTGTACGAACTGGGAACACAATGTGTTTCTGAAGCGTGCGAACGTACGGAGTTAATCCGTTCTGAATGAACCAATAAAAGAAAAAACAACATGGGTGATTGACTGTGCGCGCGTTTTAATTTTTTTGACCAGTTCAACTCCAGACAAAGCAATGAGGGAATACACAGAGCACTGCTTTCCAGTGCAGCGGTTCCGCGTAAAAAATTCACTGTGTTGGAGTGTCCCAAAAATCGACTTTCGGAATCGTTGTTACCTGCAACCTGAGTAAATCTCTGCCCCTCGGCAAAAATCAATCGTATGGTGTCCCTCATGAAAAATCAATGACATGCATGTGCAACACTGAGTTGAGAAATATGAAAAAAATGACAAAATGTCACGACCATAACATAACGAAGAAGCTTATACATATTGTTAATCGTTAGCAAAAGCACCTATTTTAATACGGAGATAAAACTGAAGAACATAGTTTCATATGCAATTAAAATTTATGTCATAAGCAGCTAATAGCCTAAAAACCCTACACATGCAACATAGTCATAAAGTTATTCATCAAATCACCACGTGTAGTGTAATATTTAGGCAGTACGTAACAGTGAAGTGAAAGAAAAAATAAAGACAAATCAAAATCGATCAACTCACTACACAGCTAATATTAATAGTTCGGGAGATTGGGTACGACTTTCGAGATTACGGGCGAAATATTTCAGCACAGAAGTCAAAAATACACAAAAATTGTTATAATGTATCGGGTGATTTTTTTTAAATTGTGATCTACTATATTGTTGAAGTTTGGGTTTTTAATTTTCCTTTTTTTACCTCAAGAAAATGTTCTACTTTTTATTTTCTTATTATTTTTACTTTCCAAGCGTAAGCTAAGGAAGTATCGTAATCGAGTTCATCGGGCGACTGGCTACTTTTGTTTTCTCGAGGTTTCATGACCCCTAGAGTACGAAAAAATAAGTATTTCGTTTCCGTCTGTCTGTTACCCCTGTACTTGTGGTCTATAAATCCGCCTTGAATTTTTATCCCAGACATCCAGATTTTTAGAAAAAAATTAAAATTGTATAATTTTTCGTCTTCTCAATTTTTCTAATATTCAATTTTTTCGTTTTTCAATGTTTTGATTTGTCGATTTATTAATTTTTCGATTTTTCAATTCCTCGTTTTCCAATTTTTCAATTTCTCGATATTTCATTTTTCGGATTTTTCAATTTTTGCGTTTTTTCGATATTTTCGGTTTGCAGATTTCCCGATCTTTTGATGTTTTGATTTCTCGATGTTTCAATTTTTCTATTTCTGCAGTTCTCGCTTTTTCGATTTTTCAAATTTTCAATTTTCGAAATTTTTTCACTTCGAATTCTGGATTTTTCAATTTCTCAAATTGTAATTTTTCGATCGATTCTCGATGTTTCAATTTTCCATGTTTCGATTTAATGATTTTTAAATTTTTTGTTATGTTTTTTCGATTTCTCAACTTTTCATCAACACTTCAATTATGGGAATATTTCAATTTCGGGATTTTCATTTTTCGAAATTTTAATATTAGATTTTTCGACCATGGATTTCGTTTAATCTATATTTTATTTATTGAATTTTCCAATTTTTCAAAATCTCGATCTTCGAGTTTGTTTTCTCGGTTTTTCGAATATTTGATTCATCGAATTTTCATTTTTGTTTAATTTTCGACATCTCAATTTTCAGTTTTTCGATTATTCAAATTTTCGATTGAGTTTTCGGTTTTTCGATTTTTATAATTTAAATGTTTCATTTTCAAATTTCAATTTTTCGTTTTCGGCGATTATATTTTTCAATTTATTTTTACTTCTCGATTTTAAAATTGTCGATTTTTCGATATTTGATATTTCGATGTTTCTATGTTGCATTCATTGGAGTTTTTGAGATCTTAATTTCCGATTTTTCAATTTTTACATTTTTCAGTGAGAACTTTTATTTTTTTTTACTTTTCGATTTCTCAAATTTTCAATCCTCTTTTTCAGTTTTTCGAGTTTTTGAAAACTTTCCGGAAGATTTTCCTACTTTTTCGATTTCTTGTTGTTTCAATTCTTAGATTTTTCAAAATTTTCGAATCTTCAATTATTTACTTTTTGATTTTCGATTCTCGAATTTTCAATTTTTCAATTCTTCGACTTTTGATTTTTCAATTTTTTCATTGTTCAGTCTTTGTGATTTTATTTATTTTTTTTTAATTCCCGACATTTGAATTTTCAATTTTTTAGTCTTGGATTTTCAATTTTTCCGCTCTTCCGTTTTTCGATTATTTTTTATTTAAATTTTTCATTTTCAAATTTTAATTTTTCGTTTTGGGCTATTATATTTTTTTAATTTATTTTCGACTTCTCGATTTTAGAATTTTCGATTTTTGATATTTCGTTTTTTCCATATTGCGTTTCTTGGAATTTTCGAATTTTTGATTTATAGACTCTCGAATTTTCAATTTTTCAAATTTTCGATTTTTCATTTATTGAATTTTCGATTTTTTAATTTTTCCATTCTTCAGTTTTTAGACTTTTCAAATTTTTTACTTTTCCATTTTTAGATATTCGAATTTTCAATTTTTGTAATTTTTCAATTATTTTATTTTTCGATTTTTTGATTTGTCAAGTTTTCGATATTCGATAGACAAATTTTCAATCTTTCTATTTTTCGATTTTTGATTTTCAATTTCTTAAATTTTTACATTTTTCAGTGTATGCTTTTTACTTTTTTTACTTTTCGATTTTTCAAAATTTCAATCCCTTTCAGTATTTTGATTTCTTGATTTTTCAAATTTTCGATTTTCCGATATTTAAATTTTCAATTTTTCAGTTTTCGATTTTTTTATATCTCGGGTTTTCGATTTTCGATATTCGGATTTTCAATTTATGTATCCACTTTCCCAATTTTGATTTTCGAATTTTGGATTTTTAAATTTTTACACTGTAACTTTTCGATTTTTCAATTTTTTGATTTTTTGAATTCTCAATTTTCCGATTTTTTGGCTTTCCGGAAGATTTTCCAATTTTTTCATTCTTCAGCTTTTCGATTTTTCAAATTTTTTACTTTTCGATTCGATTCGCGAGGTCTTGATTTTTCACCCTTTTTTCACTTTCCCGGAAATTTTTCTATTTTTTCGATTTTCGAACTGTCGATTTTTCGATTGTTCTTTTTTCCATTTCAGAATTTATTGACAACTTTCCAGATTTTTCTACTTTTTCGTTTTTTCGATATTCGAATTTTCAATTTGTATCCTTCTCGATTTTTCGAATTTTCAATTCTTCAATTTTTCAAATTTTCGATTTCCCGATATTCAAATTTTCAATTTTTTACTTTTCGATTTTTCATTTTTCAACTTTTCGATTTTCGAACTCGAATATTCAACCCTTCCACTTTTGGATTTTTGATTTTCGAATTTAAGATTTTTCACTTTTTACATTCTACAGTTTTTCGATTTTTCACTCTTTGATTTTTCGATTTTCCTACTTTTTGGATATTCGAAATTTTGTATTTTTGATGTTCAAATTTTCAATTTTCGATTTTCATTATTTCTATTCTTCAGTTTTTCGATTATTCAATTATGATTTTTTATTTATCGACTTTTCGATTTCCGGTACTCAAATTTTCAATATTTCTGCTTTTCCATTTTTGATTTTAGAATTTTCGATTTCAAAAATTTTACATTCTTCAATTTTTCGACTTTGCAATTTTTTTTAAATTTCGAATTCTCAAATTTTTTCGGTACTTCAATTTTCGATTTTTTTATTTTTCCATAAGATTTTCCTACTTTTTCGATTTTCGAATTTTCGTTTTTTCAAGATCCGTATTCTCAATTTGTTTCCTTTTCGATTTCTCGATTTTTCAATGTTTTTAATTTTCGAATTCTCAAATTTTCATCCCCTTCTTCAGTTTTTCAATTTTTTGATTTCTTGAGTTTTCAATTTGTCGATTTTTTGACTTCCTAGAAGATTTTCTTACTTTTTCGTTTCTCGGATTCTAGATTTTTCAATTTTTAACATTCTTCAGCTTTTCCATTTTTCACTATTTTTTGACTTTCCCGAAAATTTTTCAATTTTTTTCGATTTTCGAACTATCGATTTTTCGATTTTTCTTTTTTCCATTTCAGAATCTATTGACGACTTTCCAGATAATTTTTCTACTTTTTCGTTTTTTCGATATTCGAATTTTCAATTTGTTTCCTTCTCGATTTCTCGAATTTTCAATTCTTCCATTTTTCAAATTTTCGATTGTTCACTTTTTACATTCTTCAGTTTTTCGATTTTTCACTCTTTGATTTTTGGATTTTCCTTTTTTCCATTTCCGATTATTTGACGACTTTCCAGAAGATTTTACTACTTTTTGGATATTCGAAATTTTGCATTTTTGATGTTCAAATTTTCAATTTTCGATTTTCATTATTTCCATTCTTCAGTTTTTCGATTATTCAATTATTTCACTTTTCGATTTTTTTATATCTCGAGTTTTCGATTTTTGATGCTCAAATTTTCAATCTTTCTACTTTTCCAATTTAGATTTTAGAATTTTCGATTTTTAAATTTTTACATTCTCCAGTTTTTCGACATTTTTTTAAATTTCGAATTCTCGAATTTTTTAGGTATTTCAGTTTTCGATTATTTGCCTTTCCAGAAGATTTCCCTACTTTTTGGTTTCTCGCGTTTTCGATTTTCAAACTCGAAGTTTCAAATTTTTAATTTTTTTTTTTACTTGTTGATTTTTTGATCTTTCGATTTTTCGGTGTTGTTTATTTACTGGTTTTTACTTTATAGAGATAAAAATCAAAAATTTATAATTTTTCAACGAAGCGGAATTTATTGGGTTTTTCTTCAAGAGCGCTGTCAAAATGGCCTACCAATTTTTTTCTTATGTTACTATCAGGTATAATTTTTTCCTTTTCAAGTTTTAATTTTTTTGAAGTTTTTAAATATTTGTGCTTGTAGTTTTACTGCCTTAATACTTGGCAAGTACTCTGGGCCCATAACCTGTTGAACTTTCGGGTTTTAATTTAATTCTTTTAAGCCAAGAAAATTGGAAACATCGATTTTTTAGTATCTTTTTCTTATTTTTTTACATGGAAACTATTTTTAATAAACAAGAATATGAAATGAATTTCGTGTTGCTGTTCTGGAGCTAATTTTTGAACGACACTCGATTATATGATCAAATTATTTTGCGAGAGCATTAAGAGCAAATCAGGAAGTCGCACATTAACGAATTGTTGGGTAACTAGATCACAAATCAAAAAAATCACCCGGTATAATCTAGCACTTCATAATTATATAAATTTCAGTTATTTTTCTCTAAAATTTTGTTCTTTTCTTTTAAAAATCTTAAGCCGTGAACTCGTCCGCCACTCCCCTAATCCTCCCCACTACACACTTAACTTAACCCCACACCCATCTACACCAATCACGAGACTGCTTTGACATAACCCCTCTTTAGCCCCTCACAATTCCGTCGCATCAAAACCGCCGCACGTTAGTAACACATACAACACATCTACAACCACAACCCTACAAAGCCGTGTGGTACCAACAAGACTACATATAACCAAAGAAAGACAAAAATAACAAAACAAAGCTCTCTCGTCACAAGACACCAACAAAGTACTAGTTTTTGCGGGGACACTCAAATATAGAGAGAGAGGGGGGAGCACCAATACGATCAACTTACATCTGGCAAGAGATGCGCGGGCGGAAGGGCTGCCTGCAAGTGTCCGTTCTTGAGCGGCTCGAGCGGCATGAGCGGAGCCGCTGGCGCCACGGCAGCCAGCGGGTGGCCGAGGGGCAAGGGGGGAAGTAAAGGAGTCATTACTGAACTACTTACATCTGTGTGGGCAGGAACGGCGTAGTTGCCTTGGATGGTATAGGCTTGTCCGCCGGCCAGGATCACGGGGCCACCCACTTGGGGTTTGGGGCGGTAGGGTATGGTAGCTCCTTTGGGAGGGGACTGAAAACATTAAAACAGAACGAAAATTAGCGGCGGCGGCGTCGGGGGCGGGTCGGCGGCGACGGGCGGTGGATCAGCTCTCATAATCTCCGCACATCGGGCCACCCCCGCGCGGATTTCGGGCCCGGATTAATCCAGACTCAGCGGTCGCTGATATCCGCGCGGACTTCCCTTGCGATTGTTTTTCTCATCATAGGAGTCAGCGGTTGTTAAAATGAAAAACAATACATTATGTCAAGTTTCAACGGTTTTTTGTTTATCAAAAATTTAGGCTTCGATTTCACTTCGGCGATATGCCAAAAATACATTTTCGGGGTATTTGTGTACTTAATTTTAATAACAACTTCGTAATTTCAGTTTAATTCGGCCGGAGGGTATAACATGTCCAATCAATGTAAACAATAGCTGCGGTCTGCGTGTGTTTGAGATTTGAAAGTTTAATAGCAGGTACGATGAAAAACTATCCGCAGTGAACTCGTTTTATAACTAACAACTCGTAACTATGTATGTTTACTCGAAGAGTTAAAAAAGTGCGTATCGAACTGGGTTAAATAGTGCGAGAAAGTACGATTTTTAAGAACGACTATTATCGATAATTTCGCAACTCACCACATGAATAACAATTTACGAACAGCTGTGTGATGTACTTATTTTTATTTGTGACTTGTACAGGAAGATCGCGTCACTATTATTGCTCCAAATTCGTATTTTAAGAAATGAATTGCGAAGTTTTTAAATGTTTGGCCGTGCGTTAATGAACGCAGTTTTAGCACCTGTCTTCATAAATATTTAATTAATATTCGAGGACGAAAAATAAGCCCGGTTTATAGTTACACAATGACTGAAAAAATATACGTGGTGCCAGGATTAAACTCTATTAACTATTTTACTCGTTTCAGACAATTTTGAACTTTGTAAACGTTTCATAGCTGCTACAATATAAAAAAGTGGGTCTCCCGTTTCTGATAATAAAATTTCGTAATGAAACTGAGTTGAGAAAGCTCACATTTAAGAACCTTTTGTCGTCAACTATATTAGTCTACTTTTTTTAAGACGATTTAAATTTTAATGTGTTTTTTCCACTCTTTTTTTTTGACGGACGTACTTTATTATGCTTTTACATCTCTGATTTAAAAAGCTTTATATTCGCAAGCAGTTTCCTTAAAAAAGAAATTGGTTGAAAAAAATTAATAACTCCAGGAAAGTCGATATTAAGGGATTTATTTACAGGAAAATTTCAGAACATAAAAAGTTCACGTTTTTCATTTGAGCAATAACGTGAAAGAGCAAAATTTTTTTTAATCGTTCTGTAGTTGTTATTTTAAAATTATTTTTGCATAAGACGGTTTGGATGGAATCAAGACTTCTGGCTGTTTCGAAATTTTGATAAAAATGTGTATTGAAAAATGTTGGTTTTGGAAAATTTGTCTAAAATCCTCAACTGATTCTACGACAAATTTGGAACTGATGATTACAAAAATATAACGCTTTTATGCTCCCACGGCAAGATTTTAGAAACATTTGGCTTAAATTCCAATTTTTGAAAAAAATCCAAAAAACTATTATAAAAAAATTAGGCCGAAAGTAACTCCTGGAAAGCAAATTGTGCAAGTGTCTTTAATTAAGTTTCGAAGGTGGACGAAAAATTTCGAAATGTTCCTATAAACATTGAAAAATTTTGGTTAAAAAAAAATGTGTAAAAATCGTCAAAAAAATCTATGACAGATTTCTATCAGCCGATTCCAAAAATACAGAGTCATTATGGTCCCAAGGCAAAATTTTTAAAAATTTGAAATGCAAATTTTCAGATTTCATAAAAATATTGAAAAATTTTTGTTTTGAATAAGCTGCCCAAAAAAATCTAAGATATATATTATAACAAAAAAGTTGTGTTATTATGGCCCGTGACACGATTTTTAATTTGAAATTCACTTTTTTTATATTTTTATCAAAAATTTTGTAAAATTATGGTTTTGAAAAAGTTGTCTAAAAAATTCTCAAAAAATTCCAGGATACAGATTTCGACATGTTCACCCTAAAAAGACCTCGTTATGGTTAAGAAGCATAGATAATTTCGTAGTTCTGGAAAAATTATATGAATTATGAAGACGTGAGGCCGAAAGCAACTTCTGGAAGAAAATGTTTTTTGTTAATTTTCGAAAAACCTGAAAAATGTTTTGGTCTTGAAAAACTTGGCTAAAAATTCGAAAAAAAAATTAGAATATTGGTTCCAAAAATGTGACGTTTCTATGATACAAAGGCAAAATTTTACAAATATTCGGCTTTAAAATAAAAAAATGCCACAATTAACCTCTGGATGGCGAATTGTACAAGAAAATGTATTTGGTCAAATTTCGAAAGTGGTCGAAAAAAATTCCCAAAAAATTCTAGGATAAAAAATTTCGACATACCACTTCTCAAAATATAGCTGTTTTATGGTCCTAGGCAAGATTTTAGAAACATTGCGCTTCAAATGCATTTTTTTTTTAATCCAAAAAACTCATATTTCAATGAACGATTCTGGAAAAATGGTTGGAATTTTTGAAAAAACGAGACCAAAAGTAGCTTCTGGACGTCGAAATGTACAAGAAAATGTATTTAGTTAAGTTTCGAAAGTACTCAAAAAATTCCGAAAATTTCATAAAAACCTGAAACATTTTTTGGTTTTGAAAAAGTTGTCCAAAAATCATCAAAAAATTTTAAAATATAGATTACGACATACTGGTTCCAAAAATGTAATGTTTCTATGGTCCCGGGTCAAAATTTTAGAAATATTCGGCTTGAAATACAAATTAAAAAAAATTTCAAAAAACTCGTATTTCAATGAAAGATATGGAAAAATGGTGGGAGTTATCAATGCCGAAATTAACTTCTGGAGGGCGAAATGTACAAGAAAATATCAATGGTCAAATTTCGAAGGTGGTCGAAAAATTCCACAATTTTCTTACTTAGAAACTCCGATTCCAAAAATACAGGCCTTTTATGGTCCCAGGGCAAAATTTTAAGAAATATTGAGCTTCAAATGTTTTTTTTTTTTTGGTTTAATCCAAAAAACCGTCAGATTTCAACGGACGATTCTGGAAAAATGGATGGAATTTTTGAAGAAACGAGACCGAAAGTAGTTTCTGGAGGTCGAAATGTACAAGAAAATGTATTTTGTTAAGTTTCGAATGTTGTCGAAAAATTCCGAAAATTTCAAAAAAATCCTGAAAAAATGTTTGCTTTTGAAAAAGTTGTCCAAAAATCGCCAAAAAATTCTAAAATATAGATTTCAGCATACTGGTTCCAAAAATGTGACATTTCTATGGCCCAGGGGCAAAATTTTGAAAGTATTTGGCTTGAAATACAAATTTAAAAAAATATCCAAAAAACCATCACATTTGAAAGGACGATTGGATTCTAGAAGAATAGTAAGTGTTATCTATGCCGAAATTAACTTCTGAAGGGCGAAATGTACAAGAAAATGTCTATGGTCAAATTTCAAAGGTGGTCGAAAAATTCCAAAATTTTCATACCTAGAAATTTTGGTTTTGAAAGTTTCCTCAAAATTTGCAAAAAACTCAAGAATATAAATTTCGACGTTTTGATTCCAAAAATACAGCGTTTTTTATGGTCCCGGAGGAAAATTTTAGAAACATTAGGCTTCAAATACTTTTTTTAATCCAAAAAAAAACGTCAGATTTCAATGGGATTTTGGAAAAATGGTTGGAATTTTTGAAAAAACGAGGCCGAAAGTAACTTCTGGAAGTTGAAATGTACAAGAAATTAAACTTTTGGAGCTACAAGAAAATGTCCTTGGTCAAATTTAGAAGGTGGTCAAAAAATTCCGAAAATTTTGGTTTTGAAAAACTTTCCTGAAGATTCTTAAAAAAATATAGAATATAAATTTCGACGTGCTGATTCCAAAAATGTAGTACTTTCATTGTCCCAGGGCAAGATTTTGGAAACATTAGGCTTCAAATCCACTTTTTTTTTTCAATTCAAAAAAAACTGTCACATTTCAATAGACGATTTTGAAAATATGGTTGAAATTTTTTAAGAAACGAGGCCAAAAGTAACTTCTGGATATCGAAATGTACAAGAAAATGTCTTTAGTAAAGTTTCAAATTCGAAGGTGGTCAAAAATTCCAAAATTTTTATTAAAATTTTGAGTTTGAAAAAGTTGTCTAAAAAACCCTCAAAAAATAATTCCAGACCATAGATTTCGACCTGCTGATTCCAAAATTATAACGTTTTTATTGTCCCGTGGCAAGATTTTAAAAATATTTGGCTTAACATGCATTTTTTTTTATCCAAAAACAGTCATATTTCAATAAACGATTCTGGAAAAATGGTTGGAATTTTTTAAGAAACGAGGCTGAAAGTAACTTCTAGAGGTCGAAGTGTACCAGAAGATGTATTTGGTTAAGTTTCGAAAGTGGTCCAAAAACCCTGAAAAAATAGGTGATGGGAAACTTCCGAAATTTTTATAAAAGTTTTGAAAAATTTTTGGGTTTAGAAAAAGTTGTCTAAAAATCTTCAAAAAATTCAAAAATATAGATTTGGGCATACTGGTTTCCAAAATGTGACGTTTGTAAAGGTCCGGAAGCAAAATTTCGGAAATATTCGGCTTGAAATACAAATTTAAAAAAAAATCCAAAAAACCATCATACATAATTCAATTGACGATTCTGGAAAAGTGGTAGGAATTATCGATGCCAAAATTAAACTTCTGGAGGGCGAAATGTCTGGTCAAATTTCAAAGGTAGTCGAAAAATTCCAAAATTTTCATATAAAAATATAAAAATTTTGGTTTTGAAAATGTGTCTAGAAATCTTCAAAAAATTCTAAGATGCAAATTTCAACGTGTTCGGGGCAATTTTAGAAATAATCGACCTGAAACGCAGTTAAAAAAAGACATTTCAAAGGGTAGTTAGTTCTGGAAAAATGGTAAAGTTTTCGAAGAAGTGATGCCGAAAGTAACTTCTGGGTGTCGAAATGTACAAGAAAATGTCTTTGGCTAGATTTCGAAGACGGTCAAAAAATTCCGAAATTTTTATTAAAATTTTGAAAAAATTTTATTCTGGACCAAAAAATCCTCAAACAATTCCAAGACATAAATTACGACGTGCTGATTCGAAAATTAAAGCGTTTTTATTGTACTTGGTAAGAATTTAAAAATATTTGGCTCGAAATGCAACTTCTTAAAAAATCCAAAAAACTGAAATATTTCAATTCTGGAAAAATGGTTGGGAATTTTTGAAGAAACGAGGCTGAAAGAAACTTCTGGAGGTCGAAATGTACAAGAAAACGTCTTTGGTTAAAATTGCAAAATTTTAATTAAATGCTGAAAAATTTTGGTTTTCGGAAAAGTTGTAAAAAGTTCCTCAAAAAATTCCAGGTGGTTGAAAAGTTCCGAAATTTTCAGAAACTTATTGAAAGCTTTAGATTTTGAAAAAGTTGTCTAAATACCCCAAAAAACTCAAAATGTAGATTCCAACGTGCTCATAGCAAACATATAGTTTTTATGATCCAGGAGCAAGATCTTAGAAATATTCGACTTGCAATTTAAAAAAAATCAAAAAACTCTTTATTTCAATGGATTATTCTGGAAAAAAGGTACGATTTGTAGAAATTGAAAAATGTTCGTTTTGAAAAAGTGGTCCACACATCCTTAAAAAAATCCTAGGATATAAATTTCGACGTGTTCATTCCAAAAATATAGCGTTTTTTATTTTAATCAAAAAAAATTTCATATTTCAATGTCTTTGGTCAAGTTTCGAATGTGGTCAAAAAATTCCGAAATTTTCATAAAACATTGAAAAACTTTGGACATAAAAAAAATCGTTTAAAAATCTAAAAAAAAAATAAACCAACATAAATTTTTGAAATATTCGGTTTGAAATACAATTAAGAAAAAACTAAATTTGCCTTCATTTCCGTTAAAACTGGAGATGCTACCTACGACCCTCAAACTAGAGTTTCTATAACGAAAGTTTTGTCTTTAAACTGAAACAGAAGTTATAATTTTTATCTTATATGTATTTTACTCATTTCAGTATTGTCCTCAAAGAAAATTGAGATTAAATTTAACAAAGTACCCTTATTAAAAAAAAAAAAGTAAATAAGGACAACAAATACCCTTTGAATTAAGTGCAACACACATTGATTCATTCTAAAGCTTTGGAGTTGTTAAGAAATAATTTTAAAAACCCCAAAAATTTTTAAAATTAGTCTCACTACAATACAGGAAGATTTCAATCAACAGAGTAATTGATACTAGGTAAACAAAACCGCCGTCCATGAACATAAGCTATTAAAACTGAAGCCTGAAACTGATTTTAAGTGAAAAATCCATTTTAATTTTGAAAATGCATTTAACATTGCAAAAACACAATTTTATGATCGTAAAATCAGAAACAGTGTCCAAATTCATACGTTCAACTTCTAAAAAAATAATTCAATAATTAATGAACAAATTCGACATTTTTCGAAGCCCCACACCATTTTAGATACCAAGAGTTCTTCTCGTAAAGTGAAATATTTTTTCAAATTCGCAACGAACAAAAAGTAAACTTCTTGTTTTGACAAAGCGAAAGCCCGAATTGTCATGTTTTGTTAAAACTGCGATAATGAAACAAAATTTCTCTTTCAAGTTGACTCCGTCCCTAATTTGACCTTTCGGCATACCTACGCAGTACCACTGATCAACTCAAGCCTCCTCTTTGTGCTCCCTCCTAAGTGGTATGGAGCGTGGGCTTTATTATAATATCGTTATTGATCAATAGCAGCAATCGTCCGTGGCTGCACTTACACAAAATTTCATAATCGGATTACAACGAAGAGAAATTCCAAACTACTCTATACTGTTCCTAGTTTTACGACCATAAAACTGTACTAAAAAAAAAACACTAGGAGTCGACCCTCTGTAAATTACCTCGAGCATAACGGTACAGATGTGATAAATGCACTGAGTGATTGCTTCTCCGGTTCCCGAAATAGTGACCGCCCTCTCTGTCGAATTGGGCAACATCTCCGAGGCGACCTGAATCGACGCCCCCGTCACTTCCCTAATTTCTTTGATTTTGGAGCCTCCTTTCCCGATCAGCGATCCACATTGGCTTGCAGGTACGATGAGTCGCAACGTTATCGGAGGCCTGGGCACTCCGCTACCTCCACTATTTATGTCCTGGAACTGGGAACACCACTGAGGGATCCCATCACAACACAACACCACATTAACAAATGCACAATACACACTATACAAATTACTGCTACGCCAACTACTACCTATCGGCTATTTCTACACACGTATATTAGCTTGTGTGATACGTTCGGTTCCGGTTCCCTCGGATCTCATAATCTCCGCACACAGGACCACCGACTTTGCCGGCGTAGACACGACCGAGGCCGCGCCCGGAAACCACCGCAGCCGGCAAAGTCACTCCTTGCGTTAGGGGTTTTCGTCATAGGGAACTGGGTGTGTGACGTGTACTGTTGAGTGTATATTCCATTCCAAATCAATATTGTCGGATTTTAAGACGATATGAAAGCAAAATGTACTTTTTTACAAACTGTGGTACGTCGGTCATTAAATCATACTTTGGGGATTTTTCATTGGCGTTATTTTACTTAGGTAGTTATAAAACTGCCTTAAGTAAAAGTCAGAACAGAGTTAAAGTCAAATTAATCGTTACGTCCTACACAGAAATCCCTGTGTTTATAATAGCAAATAATTTTTTTTTTTTTAATTTTTAATCACTTAAAAGTGTAGTTATTTAGTGCTTCGAATCGACTCCAGTCTATTTTTATATAACAGTCGGCTTTGGGAAAAATTTTCAAAATTCTTTGCACTGTTTTGAATTTTTTACTAAAAATCTACGTCTAAGATAAAAATAAGGGCAGATTAATAAACCATAACAAATATGGACACATATTATTTTATAAAATTTAAATGAGACGGCGTTTTGATATTCGACTTGAAATATACAAGAAAAAGTCTCTTAAATTTAGAACGGAATCAAAAAATTCGAAATATAACATTTATTGAAAAATTTGGCTTTTGAAAAAAAATCTCTAAACATTCTCAAAAAATTCAATGATATGGATTTCCATGTGCTTTTTTTTTAATATTCGCCTTGAAATGCAATTTTTTTTTAAATATAGTGCTTTTAGTCCTAGAAATCTTGGGTTTAAAATCCATTTTTTTAATTCAAAAAACTGCTATATTTCAATGAATCATTCTACAAAAAAGGGTAGGAGTTGTGAAGCCGAAATTAAATTCTAGGGGTCGAAAAGTATATGAAAATACATTTAAAATATAAAATTACAAAATTTTCATAAAAACAAAAATTTTTTGGTTACGAAAAAGTTGTCTAAAATTCTCAAAATATTGTAGGCCATAGATTTCGACGGCTGGTTCAAAAAATATGGCGTTTTTATGGTCCCCGGGGAAGATTTTAGAAATATTCAGCTTGAAATGCATTTCTTAAAAAAATCCAAAAAGCTATTATATTTATTTCAGCGACTAATTCTGGAAAAATGGTAGGAGTTATCGAAGAAGTGAGGCCGAAATTAACTTCTGGAGGGCGAAAGGTACAAGAAAGTCTTTAGATGAGTTTCGAAGGTGGTCGAAAAAATTACATTTTCATTAAAATATTGAACAATTTTGGTTTTGACAAAGTTGTAAAAAAATCTGCGACATAAATTTCGACGTGTTCGTTTCTAAAATATAGTTCTTATGGTCCAGGAGGTCGAAATATACAAGAAAATGTCTTTTGTTAAATTTGGAAGGCGCTCAAAAAATTCCCAAATTTTGATTAAAATTTGGGTTTTGAAAAAGTTGTCTAAAAAATCCTCAAAAAAAATTAGGATATAGATTTCGAAGTGGTGATTCCAAAAATATATCGTTTTTAAGGTCTCAAGCCAAGATTTTAGAAATACTAAGCCTGAAATGCATTTTTTTTTATCCAAAAACTACACTTTCTTTCAGTGGACGATTCTGGAAAAATGGTAGGAGTTATCGACGAAGTGAGGCTGGAAATAACTTCTGGAGGTCGAACTGTACAAGAAAATGTCTTTGGTTAAAAATTTGGAAGGCGTTAAAAAAATTCCCAAATTTTGATTAAAATTTTGGTTTTGAGAAAGTTGTCTAAAAAAATACTCAAAAAAATCCAGGACAATATTTTAAAAATACTTGACTTGAAATGCTTTTTTAAAAAATCAAAAAAATGGGCGATTCTGGAAACATGGTAGTTTCAAAGAAGTAGGGCCAAGAGTAGGTCGAAATGTACAAGAAAATGTGTTTGGTCAAACTTAAAAACTGGTAGAAAAAAATCCGAAATTTTCATAAAAATTGTGAAAAATTTTGGTTTTCAAAAGTTATCTAAAAATTCTCAAAAAAATTCAGAATAGATTTCGAGGTGCTGATTCCCAAAATATATCGTTTTTAAGATCTCAAGCCAAGATTTTAGAAATACTAAGCCTGAAATGCATTTTTTTTTAATCCAAAAACTACACTTTCTTTCAATGGACGATTCTGGAAAAATGGTAGGAGTTATCGACGAAGTGAGGCTGGAAATAACTTCTGGAGGTCGAAATGTACAAGAAAATGTCTTTGGTTAAAAATTTGGAAGGCGTTAAAAAATTCCCAAATTTTGATTAAAATTTTGGTTTTGAAAAAGTTGTCTAAAAAAATACTCAAAAAAATCCAGGACAAGATTACGACGTGCTGATTCCAAAATTAAAAGCGTTTTTATGGTCCCAGGACAAGATTTTAAAAATATTTTACTTGAAATGTTTTTTTAAAAAATCCAAAAAACCGTCACATATTTTAATGGGTGATTCTGGAAACATGGTAGTATCAAAGAAGTAGGGCCGAGAGTAGGCCGAAATGTACAAAAAAATGTCTTTGGTCTAATTTCGAAAGTGGTAGAAAACAATCCGAAATTTTCATAAAAATTGTGAATAATTTTGGTTTTGAAAAAGTTATCTAAAAATTGTCAAAAAAATTCAGGATATAGATTTCGAGGTGCTGATTCCAAAAATATAGCGTTTTTAAGGGCCCAAGCTAAGATTTTAGAAATGCCAAGCTTGAAATGCATTTTTTTAATCCAAAAAAACTACATTTTATGTCAATGGACGATGCTGGAAAAATGGTAGAAGTCAGGCCGAAAATAACTTGTGGAGGGCGAAATGATCAAGTTTCGAAGGTGGTCGAAAAGTCCCGAAAATTTCATAAAATTATTGATTTTTTTTTTTTGGTTTTGAAAAAGTTGTCTAAAAATTGCCAAAAAATTTTTAGAATACATTATCGAAAAGGTGAGACCGAAAGTAGGTCGAAATTTACAAGAAAATGGCTTGGTCAAGTTCCGAAGGTGGTCGAAAAATTTCGAGATTTTCATAAAAACATTGTAAAATTTTTTAGTTTTGAAAAAGTTGTCCAAAAATTCTCAAAAAATTCTAAGACTGATTTCGACGTGCTGCTTCTAAAAATACAGCGTTTCTATAGTTCCAAGACACGATTTCAAAATATTCAGCTTGAAATGCACTTTTTTAAAAAAATTCAAAAAAATCACATTTCAGTGGGCAAATTTGGAAAAACTGGTCATCGAACAAGCAAGGGCAAAATTAACTTCTGGAGGGCGAAATGTACATTGTTCCAGTTTAGAAGTCGAAAAATCCCGAAATTTTCATAAAATTATTGAAAATTTTTTGATTTTGAAAATATTATCTAAAAATTTCCAAAAAAATATTTTAGTGGTCGACTCTGGAAAATGGGAGGAGTTATCGAAGAAATGAAGCCGAAAGATTTCGCCTGGAGTGCGAAATGTACGAGAAAATGCCTCGTCAAATTTGGAAAGTGGTCGAAAAATTCCGAAATTTTCATAAAAATATTGAAAAATATTTTGGTTTTGAACAAATTGTGCAAAAATTTCGAAAAAATTTTGTATATAAATTTCGACCCGTGGATTCTAAAAACAGTGTTTTCATTAGGCAAAATTTTACAAATATTCACCTTGGAGTGCAATTAAAAAAAAAATCCAAAAAACCTTTATTTCAATGGACCAAAACATGGTAGGAGTTTTCGGAAAAGTGGAGCCGAAAGTAGGTCGAACTGTACAATGTCTTTGGTCAAGCCTCGAAGGCGGTAGAAAAATTTCGAAATTTTCATAAAAATATTGAAAATTTTTTGATTTTAAAAATATTGTCTATAAATTTCCAAAAAATGTTAGGATATGAATTTCGACGTGTCACTTAATTTCGAAAATATAGCGTTTTTATCTTCCCCTGGTAAGATTTTAGAAAAATTCGGATAAAAAAGAACAAAAATCCATATTTTAATGGTTTAGGCAAGATTTCAAAATATTAAGCTTGAAATGCACTTTTTTCAAAAAATCCAAATAACTTATACATATTTCAGTGGGCAATTTTGGAAAAATGGTAGGAGTTATTGAAGAAGTAAAGTCGGAATTAACGTCTGGAGGATTGTTCCCGCTTCGAAGATAGTCGACAAATCCCAAAATTTTAATAAAAATATTGAAAATTTTTTGATTTTGAAAATGATGTCTAAAAATTTCCAAAAAAATTTTAGAATACATATACACTGCGACGTACTACTTATTTCAAAAATATGGCGTTTCTATCTTTCCCTTGTAAGATTTTAGAAAAATTCGAACAAAAAAAAAAAAAACAAAAAATCATAGTTTGATGGTCGACGCTAGAAAATTGGAAGTAATGAAGCCGAAAATGCCTAGTCAAATTTGGAAAGTGGTCGAAGACTTTCGAAATTTTCATAAAAACATTGTGAAAATGTTTTGGTTTTGAAACAATTGTCTAAAAATTCTCAAAAAATTTTTTATATAAATTTCGACGTGCTAATCCCAAAACAGTGGTTTTTATGGTCCCCATTCAAAATTTTAAAAATGTTCAGCTTGGAGTGCATTTTTTTTTAAATCCAAAAAACCATTTTATTTCAGTGCACCAATCAGAAAATATGGTAGGAGTTATCGAAGAAGTGATACCGAAAGCAGTTCGAAATATACGAGAAAATATCTTTTGTCAAATTTAGAAATTTTCATAAAAATTGTGAAAAATTTAGGTTTTGAAAAAGTCGCCTAAAAATCGTCAAAAAAAAAACTAGAATATAGATTTCGACGTGCTGATTCCAAAAATATAACGTTTCTATGGTCCCAGGGCAAGATTTTAGAAATATTAAGCTTGAAACGCAATTAAAAAAAAAAATTGTTTAAACTATTATATTTCAGTGGGTGATTCTGGAAAAATGGCAGCAGGAGTTATCGGAGAAGTAAGGCCGAAAATAACTTGTAGAGGGAGAAATATACAAGAAAATATCTATGTTCAAGTTTGGAAAGTGGTAGAAAAATTTCGAAATTTTCATAAAAATTTTGTATATAGGTTTCGACGTGCTGATTCCAAAAACACCGTTTTTATGATCCCCAGGCAAGATTTTAGAAATATTCAGCTTGGACTGCATTTTTTTTTTTTAATTCAAAAAACCATTTTATTTCAGTGGACCAATCAGAACACATGGTAGAAATTATCCGGAAATTGAGACCGAAAGTAGGTCAAAATGTACAAGAAACTGTCTTTGGCTTCCGAAAGTAGTAGAAAAATTCCGAAATTTCCATTAAAATACATGGTGAAAAATTTTGGTTTTGAAAAAGTTGCCTAAAAATTCCCAAAAAATTGTAAGATATAGATTTCGACGTGCTGATTCCAAAAATATAGCGTTTTTATAGTCTTGGGGCAAGATTTTCCAAATATCCTACTTGATAGGCAATTTAAAAAAAAAATCCAAAAATATTTCATCATTCAATGGACGATTTTGGAAAAACGGTTGGAGTTATCCAAGAAGTGAAGCAGAAAGTAATTTCTAGTAATCGAAATGTACAAGAAAACGTCTTTGGTCAGTTTCGAAAAATCCCGAAATTTTCAAAAAAATATTGAAATTTTTTTGGTTTTGAAAAAGTTGTGTAACATTTTCAAAAAATTTCGTATACAGATTTGGAGGTGCTGATTCCACAAAAACTGCATTTTTATGGTCATCGGGCTAAGATTTTATAAATACTCAGCTTGAAGTGCTTTTTTTTAAAGAGATCCAAAAAAACATTTTATTTCAGTGGACCAGTCAGAAAATATTATAGGAGTTATCGAAGAAATGAGACCGAAAGTGGATGGAAATGTACAAGAAAAAGTCTTTGGTCAAGTTTCAAAGGCGGTCGAAAAATTCCGAAATATTCATAAAAATACTGGAAAATTTTGGTTTTGAAAGTTATATAAATATCCTACAAAAATTCTAAGATATACATTTCGACGTGCTGATTTCCAAAATATAGCGTCTTTATGGTCCCAGTGCAAGATTTTAGAAATGTTCAGCCTAAATTTTGTTTATTAATCCACAACATTATTTCGGATAGGAGTTATAGAAGAATTGGGGCCGAAAGTAGGTCCAAATGTACAAGAAAATGTCTTTGACCAAGTTTCGAAAGTGGTAGAAAAATTGCGAAATTTTCAGGAAAACAGTGAAAAATTTTGGTTTTGAAAAAGTTGCCTAAAAATCGCCAAAAAAAGATTTTGACGTGCTGATTCCAAAAATATAGCGGTTTTATGGTCCCAGGGCAAGGTTTTAGAAATATTAAGTTTGAAACGCAATTAAAAAAAATAAATAAAAAAAAAACATATTTCATTGGGCGATTCTGGACAAATGGCAGGAATTATCGGAGAAGTAAGGCCGAAAATAACTTCTACAGGGAGAAATATACAAGAAAATATCTATGTTCAAGTTTAGAAAGTGGTAGAAAAATTTCGAATTATTCATAAAATATTTGAGAACTGTTTTGGTTTTGAAAAAATTGTGTAAAAGTTCTCAAAAAATTTTATATATAGGTTCCGACGTGCTGATTCCAAAAACACCGTTTATGTGATCTCCAGGCAAGATTTTAGAAATATTCAGCTTGGACTGTATTTTTTTTTAAATTCAAAAAACCATTTTATTTCAGTGGACCTATCAGAACACATGGTAGGAGTTATCCGGGAATTGAGACCGAAAGTAGCTCAAAATGTACAAGAAACTGTCTTTGGCTTTCGAAAGTAGTAAAAAAATTCCCAAATTTCCATTAAAATACAGTGAAAAATTTTGGTTTTGAAAAAGTTGCCTAAAAATTCCCCAAAAAATTGTAAGATATAGATTTCTACGTGCTGATTCCAAAAATATAGCGTTTTTATAGTCCTGGGGCAAGATTTTCCAAATATCCTGCTTAATAAGGCAATTAAAAAAAAAATCCAAAAATATTTCATAATTCAATGGACGATTTTGGAAAAACGGTTGGAGTTATCCAAGAAGCGAAGCAGAAAGTAATTTCTAGTAAACGAACTGTAGAAGAAAATGTCTTTGGTCAGTTTCAAAAAATTCCGAAATTTTCAAAAAAACATTGAAATTTTTTTTGGTTTTGAAAAAGTTGTCTAAAATTTTCAAAAAATTTTGTATATAGATTTGGAGGTGCTGATTCCACAAAAACTGCGTTTTTTTATGGTCACCGAGTAAGATTTTATAAATATTCAGCTTGAAGTAGCTTTTTTTTTTAAAGAAATCAAAAAAAAAAATTTATTTCATTGGACCAATCAGAAAATATGATAGGAGTTATCGAAGACATGAGACCGAAAGTAGATGGAAATGTACAAGAAAATGTCTTTGGTCAAGTTTCAAAGGTGATCGAAAAATTCCGAAATTTTCATAAAAATATTGAAAAATTTTGGTTTTGAAAAATTCTAGGATATACATTTCGACGTGCTGATTTCCAAAATATAACGTTTTTATGGTTCCAGGCCAAGATTTGAGAAATATTCAGCCCTATTTTTTGTCTAAATCCAAAAAAACTTTGTTTCAGTGAGAAAATGTCTTTGGCCAAGTTTCGAAAGTGGTATAAAAATTCTGAAATTATCATTTAAAGTTGTGAAAAATTTTGGTTTTGAAAAAGTTGCCCAAAAATGCCCAAAAAATTCTAAAAGATAGATTTCGACGTGCTGATTCCAAAAATATAGCGTTTTAATAGTCCCAGGGCAAGATTATAGAAATATCAAACTTGAAATGCAATTAAAAAAAAATCCAAGAAACTTATCATATTTCAATGGACGATTTTGAAAAAATAGTTAAGTTTCGAAGGTGGTCGAAATTTTCCGATATTCAAAATTTTGGCCTTTATTTTGACACTGTGGTTAATAAAAACTGCGATTTATAGACCAAAATTATTTATACAGAACTTCCCTTGTCCTTGAAACACCATAATAAACCTTGATTCTAATTTTTTTTATTTTATATAACAGTCGGTTCTAAGAAAAAAATCTACGTCTAAGTAAAAAAAGAAGGATTAATAAATAAACAAGGCGGATTAATAAACCATAACAAATATGAACGGACATTATTTTTTAAATTTAAATGAGATTTCCTTAACAAAATTTTTTATCAAGTTTACAAAAAAAAAAACTATTCAACCTAATATACGCAAAGCATCCATTAGCTCTTCTGAATAATTTTCACTAATTAAAAAAGAACTATAAATCTTTCAAATATTAAACAGAAAATGACATATAACACATTATATGCAAAATAAATCTCCTGTTACTAATTAACGGCCTTTAGTCAGCCTTTACATGAAAGTTTGGGCTCTAACACGCAAGTGAATGTTGTTTACACCGGCTTCAGTAAAGCTTCGATACTATTGATTATTATGTACTCCTACATGGCTTAGTCTATTTGCTTTTAGTAATCCCTTAATACGTTTATTCATGGTGTATCTTACTGGCTGAACTCATTTAGCAAATATCAGAACATTCCAAACACATTATTGTGCAGAAATTTTCAAGGATCAAACTTAGAACTCTTGTTATTTCTTATATTTATTAACGATTGTTTGCAATGCAATCAGGAAACGACTGGCTTTCTACGCCTAACCAAATTCCACAACAACTAGTGCGACGCTAATTATTTAAATTTAACCACCTCTAAACGCTCGCTTATGATAAAATCAATTTAAATGTACGTGACCTACTTTTGTATCACTGATTTATTTTAAAACACTTTTGAAAATAAATAAAGTCGCTTGTGTTTCAATATTTTCGTCCCTTGGAGTGTTTACAGAGGATGTCCTCTCCAAAGCTTGTCTCACCCCAGAGAAGATTCATTTTATCGATTATATCAAAATCCTAGTATACACTAAAATTAGTTAGTTATTCCTTGCTAAGAGTCGATGACGTCAGCAAAAGTACAACACTGAAAGTGCGGGATTTTGTGTAATTCCGGTTTGTCGGATCAGATAAACATAATTAAATAAACATAACACGAACTCAACCAGAAACGACAAGTAATCAATAGTTTTAAGCATTTTCTCAGACTGGTACACGTAATTATTAAATTAAACCCTTAGTCGTAGCAAGTAAATAATTTAATGTAACAGGCTTCCCAATAGTGATTTTAGAACATTAAAAATTTTAATGAAAACGAGGTAACAATGTTCAAGATGGGTCAATAATCGGTATGTGGTGTTTACAGTGAAGGTGACTTTGACCAAAATCGTTTTCGATCGCATGTTTAACGACCAATAACAATAATAATCCTAAAAATAATGATCACGTTACGATTTAATTATGGACCATATTTCCTCAATGACCGGTGATCAAGCTAAACAAACAAATGCGCACTTTAATTTTGTACAACTTTTAACACAAGATTGATTTCTTAATTTTTCTAAACAAGTCCGCGCCATCTATCGTCCAACGTCTTTTTCAACCGTTCAAGTTTAAACCCGACATTTTGCTTTCATACGCATATTCACGTGGAATGGAACCCGGGTATTACCAAAACGCTCATGCTCTTCCACAGTTAATCATAATAATTATAGAATGAGTAACGAAAGCCATTACGGAATTAAATTAAAATCCTGGTCCTCTCAAAAGGGTCATTTTAAGTGCATTAGGCATTACAATGTTCCCAAAATACTTAAGTTCATTCATAGAAAACGTCCTCGACTTACCTCTTCGAATTTTTTACAAATTAGTGTGAAAGCTTTAAAAATCGCGTTAGTTGATCCCGTTACTGTTACTATACGTTCAGGGCACGAACCATCAGATATGTTTATTTTGGCACCCGACTGAAACAAAAACAAACACAATCAACAGATCAAAGAACCGTATCACCATCAACATACCTCTTCTCTAAACCTTTTGACTATTTCGCCTTTTTTACCTATGATACTGCCCACTTCCTACAACAGAAAATTCGGTCATTCGCACACACGTTTTTACAATATACACACATATTTAAAATTGTAGCTGTGACATTTACCCTTCTTGTGCGGAAAATCTTAAAGTGCGATTTATTTTCGGCGGAAATATTTTTTAGAATGTCATACTATAAAAAACATTCTCTCCAGTCACTGTTTTGTACTTTGAGAGACAGTTTAAAAATAGATCGCCACGGAAGCTATTATTTGAAGGTTTTGCCATTAATAAAGAAAGCAGCTACTAGAAATAGCCCGTTCTTGTTCGTATTAGTTTATAATGATGATTTACACAGCGAAAACTTTTACTAGACGCATTTAATTCTAGTATATTTTTATCAAAGCATGATTCCATGACTGAGCTGCGTTAAGATAACGTTTTGAATCCCATTAGCAAAAATAGTTTGCATGCCAATCAATAGCAATGAGACTAGATATGATCAGTATTAATAAAATAGGAGATTTATGGTGGAGAAAAGTCAGAGTACGTCGGGTCACGAATTTACTTAATGTGTTTACTGACTGGGTAAACACAATCCAAGTTCAATAGTTTATTAATAAATGCGGTTCATTAAAATTGTAAATATTACACTAACACGGGCGCTAAATAAATGGCATATCTTAGCAGCTCATCATGAATATCTTGGCAATGATTCTAGTGATTGACCCAGACTGTGTTGTTTTGAGCTCCGTATCAATCTATAATTAAACTATAAATGGCTTAGCACTTAAGACAATAGCACATCATAGATGTATGTTAACATAAACTACTGAACCCGCGCATTACAATGTGCATTTAAATTAATGTAAATAACGCCGCCAGAGAACATTTTGTTTGGAGAGTGCCATCAAAGGAATGAATTAATTCAATTTATGTTACACAATAATGAAGACGATAAAAGCAAAGTTTGTAGCCACTGAACATACATCACTCTTGGGTATTGATTATGGAGTTATCAATACACGCCTCCAACACAGAAGACTAATAAAATATGAAAATGTAGGTACGTTTTGCCCGGATTGAAGCCTACAGAGTTTGAGTGCACTAATGTGATTACAAATTGTGAAAGGTTTCAGCGCTAATAACTAGATTTTTGCTATTTATCCAACGTAAACCAATTTACGCGCCTTAAAAGAATGCTATTTACTATTTACATGGTACTGATAAAGGCGCCACAATGTTTGACCTTCAGAATCATGTTACAAGTTCCCTGTGGAGTAAAGAGTTTTTAAAAAGCACACACTAGGACGTGTTTCATAGGCGACACCTGCGACACGAAAAAACAAACTGGGGCCTACCTTTCCTTGCATAATAAGCCTAATTGTGAGTGTGACATTTGGGTCATCGTTTATCAAATTTTTATTATCCATATCCATGGTCTTTTGAAACGGGGGTCAGGGCGAAGGGGTAGGTTTTGGGTTCAATTCTGTAACAAAAGGATGCAATAATTAGACTCCCTCCTGTATTAACGCTCGTTACATCAATCACATCGAAGCAAGCACCAGCAATTGGAGAATTGCACACAATTACATAATAAAAAACGAGTTCGCCTGCGAGTAATATTAATAAGCGTCGAAGCGAGTCAGCACGCGTTTTACTTACTTTGAAAAAATCCAACCAAACGAAACAACTACAACACAATCATCTACATAACCACTAAGTCATGCGCGTCATTGCCGACAAGCCGCTACTGGAATGGTTTTAGGACGCGATTTATAGCGAATTAGGTGTAATTAATTGTTAGAATCTATTTAGTTACGGTTAAAGACTTACTTTGAACCCACTAACAGGTAAAAATTAAATTATTCGGGAGCTTGGAAACGTTGAAGCTTCTCCTCCACGTGCTTCATTCGACAATGCTGCCAACGTGCCAGATGTCGGGAGCGAAATTACCTAGGGTGACGCAAACGCGCGCGCTTATTTGAAGGTATCGATTCTTCGAACAGAGGCGAGGGGGGGTTTTATAAATTTATCCTTATTTTTGCGAGGATTATTTATTTATACTGCCTGCAGCACAACAGAATAATTAATGGATTTTACATTACTGCTGCTGGTACACGGTAAAAACAAAGGTTCAAGAAACTTCGACTCACTTTTTGTTTCAAAGAAAAACTTACACGTGAACTTTTTTCCCGGAGATAATATCGCCACAAAAATAACGCAGCAGTCGATAATTTTTATTTTGGAGTAACAACGCCATTTTTGCATATACAGCGTGAGTAACTATTTCAGTTGGTATCAACAACTGTCACCACATCTAACGTCTTATTGTTAGTAACAATTAACCTAACTTTCTCGAGTTTTTATTGAATTTTATTCTGCCTGAAGCGCAACAGAATCATTAATGGCCTTTACATTACTGTAGCGATACACTAAAAAACCAGAGGTGAAATTTTTTCTCAGCAACACAAGTCTCTCCACCTGTAAATGGGTTAAAGCCCAATTTGCGTCGTAATAAATGGAAAATTAGAAAGAAATAATTAAGCAGATTGCGTCTGCACCCCGTTATGGATCTAAAAACGCAAATATGCGCACAAACATACAAAAGCAATAATTCATGATGCGGCAAACCGCGCTACAGTACTGTGCAAACACAGAATTGCCAAAGCAGTGCTAAAAACTCAATTAATTAATTAATTATGCGGACAAATTAGCTGAGTGTAATCACAATATTAAGATAGTCGCCGCAGAACAATATTGTGGGGGCAGACAGTCTGCTCTTTGTGATTTGGGTTAGCACAAGTTTGATTTTTGCGGTTGGTAACGCCGAGATTTCCCTAAATGTGGCTCGAATAATTTTTTCGTTTTTAAACGTTGGCGTGGGGGTTTATGTAACTGGACGGATGTTTTAGCTGGGTCTGTTTGATGACGGCTGGGATGTGTTGACACTGGATTTGGTTGCTGAACCGTTTGCAATAGGTTAATTTGATGTTTGGATTATCGTTATCAACATTTGAGGACGAATTTTAAAAACTTTTGGTTGACACTGTCGAGTTACTTATTTTTACACTAGTAAAATTACAGTGGAAAATTTGTATTCATGTCATTTAAAAGTTTGATGACGTTTTATGCTGAAAAATTTTTTGACTAAGAGTACGAATACGTTGACACTATTGTCATTTCAAGGTTTTTTTCAGCATATAGCACTTACTAGGTTTTATAAAATGACTTTATTAATTAATAAAAATTACTCCTATGATTTATTTTTCGTGGCGCCATCTTTCCAAGAGTTGGACCACCATTTCTGTCCATGAGTAAATGAAAATAATAGAAAATGTATAAAAAAGGAAGGAAATTAAAGGAAAACGGTCTTCTACATAGAGGTATAGATATCATCGAGGGAGAACGCGATCAATAAGACACTGACTCGTACACAGAAACGAAAACTTGTATTTTCGTAATTCGTGGGCTTTGAATGTTAAGAAAACACGAAATTGCACGTTTGTCAGATGGTTCTATTTAAAATGCTTGTACTTTTCTTGAAAATTCTGAAAAATGTGTGGAAAATAGTATAACCTTTATGGCTTAACGCATTAAGACAAAAAATTCATTTTTTTTCCCAAGTGTAGGTAATCTAAGGAAGTATTGTAATAACGTCCACCCGACCAATAGCTACTTCTATGTTTTCTCAGGGTCTCATAACCCCTACAGTAGGAAAAAATAGATCCCCAGTTTCCATCTGTCTGTTTGCCGTCTCTGTCGATTACATAGATAATCTTCGAAACTACTGGACCGATTGTTCTCAAATTTTACTTGTATGTTACCAATATCCTGTAAGCGATAAAGACTTTCTAAAATTTCTAGATACCCTAGAATTTCTATTCTCTGGAGGCCCTTTAAACGCAGCAGACTCTGAAAGCTTTTGATTTGTAAATCCCTCATTGTTCATACAGTGTCTAAATACGCCATATTCATTAGATCTTTAGACTTACTAGTTCTTACAGATTTTTTTGAACTATCTAGCTACTCTAAGCTCTTTAAAGTGTTTAGATTCTACACGATTTAAATTATCTAGATTGTCTAGTCCGTTTATAAATTTTAGACGTTATACTTTGTAGATATTTCAGGACCTCTAGGTTCTTTAAGGTATCTAAACCCATTATGCTCTATATGTTTTCTAGGGTCTCTAGATACCATAGATTGCCTTTAATCACGAGGCCCTCTCGATTGTACCTATAGATCCTCTGGACTTTTTTTATTTCTATTAGGTACTAAATCAGGGATCTATGTTCTCTATAGACATTCTAAAATTTTAGATTCTCTAGATTCTCTATGGCCTGAAGACTCTACAAACTCCGTAGACTCAATAAATTCTCTGTAGATTCTCCAATTCCTAAATTATTTAGATTCTCTAACTCTCTAGAGTCTCGATAGTCTTTAAGATCTGTAAACTCTGGTTTGGTTCGATTTTACATACTTTTGGGTTTCTCTGGCTGCTCTAAGCTTCTAAAGTCTTTTGATTCCAATCTACAGATTTTGAAGAATATGGAGACTGTAGAAAACCTAGACAGTCTAGGAGTTTAGAAGAGCTCTAAAGTATAGATAATCTAGACTATTTAGAAGTTCTAGAAAATTTAAAGAATCTGGACTAATTTAGTTTAGAGTTTAGAACTTTAAGACTGTAGAGGGTATGGAGAATCTACAAAATAGAAAAAGCCTCCCTAGTAATGAGAATTTAGAATGTCTAGAAGCTCTAGATTGTATAGATTCCATGGAAAGTACAAAGTCGAGTGATGCTGCTGATTACACAGATAATGTAGGAGATCTAGAAACCCTATCAAACGTATGTGACCTTGAAGTATCTATAGAATATAGCATTGAAATCTAAAGAGTCTAGACAATTTAGTTCATCTGGAATTTAAAGATTTTCAAGACGTTACAGTAGCCAGAAAACCCAGAAAATTTATTAAATCTAGCAAGTCTATAGATGTCAATTTATGGATTATAGAATCTAGAGAGAATTTAGAGAGTTTACAAAACTTAGAAGGCTTCCAAATCATAAAAAACGTAGAGTATTTAGAAACTTTTGAAAATCTAGAAAATCTGGACCCTCTAGTTTAGATTAGAGCTTGAAGAGTGTGGACAGTCTGGACAATCTACAAAATGGAGAGATCCTCACGAGAAGTAAAAATCTAGAATGCCTAGAAGCCCTAGAATATCTAGAGTCCACAGAAAAGACAAAGTTGAGGGCTGCTTCTGATTATTGACAATGTAGAATATCTAGAAACCCCATCAAACGTGTAGAGCTTGAAGAATCTATAAAATATAGTATCCAGTCGAGAGAATCTAGACAATTTAATTCATCTGGAATTTAAAGACTTAAAACTTTTTAGCCAGAGACCCAAGAAAATTTATAAAATCTAGCAAGTGTAGAGTGGCAATTTATGGGTTGGAGAATCTAGAGAGAATTTACAGAGTCTACGGAACTTAGACGCCTTCCAAATCATAGAAAATATAGAGTACTTAGAAACCCTAGAAAATCCGGACTCTGTTAGTTTAGAATTTAGACCGCAAAGAGTTTAGAGAGTCTGGAAAATCTACAAAATTGAGAGAGCCTCTCGAGAAGTGAAAATCCAGAATGCGTAGAAGCTCTAGAGTGTATTGAGTCTACAAAAAGCACAAAGTTGAGGGGTGCTCTGATTATAGACAATGGATGATATCTAGAAACCCCATCAAACGTTCAGAGCCTGAAGTATCTACAGAATATAGTACTGAAACCAAGAGAATCTAGAATTTAAATCATCTGGAATTTAAAGACTTCAAAGACTATACAATACCTATAGAGAACCTAGAAAATGTATAAAATCTAGAATGTCTAGAGTCAATTGTTAGCAAATTAGAGAGTGGATAATCTAGAGAGAATTTAGAGTCTACGGAATTTAGAAGGCTTCCAGATAATAGAAAATGTAGAGTAAGTTGAAAATCTGGATCCTCTAGTTTAGAGTTTAGGGGTTGAAGGGTGTAGACAGTCTGGAGAAACTACAAAATGAAGACACCCAATCAAGAAGTGAAATTCTAGAGTGCCTAGAACCCTAGAGTATCTAAAGTCCACAGAAAATACAAAGTCAAAGGGTGGTCCTGATTATAGACAATGTCTATAATCTATATCTAGAAAACTTATAATACGGGTAGAGCTTAAATTATCTATAGAGTGTCGAGAAACAATAGAGAGCCTAAAGAATCTAAACAATTTAAATCATCTGAAAACTACAGATTTCACAGATCTTACAGCAGTTAAAGAGCTCAGAAAATCTACAAAATCTAGCAAATCTAGAGTCTACAGATCTTAGAGAATATGGAGACTGCAAAGAATCTAGATATCCTAGGCAATTTAGCAACTGGAGAATCTAAAGAAAATTTAGAGATTCTCTATGCACTGGAGGCCTTCTAAATTGCTTAGACTTTCTAAATTTTCTCTAGATTATC